TCATCTGTCATCGTCATCTGCTGGTACAATTAAGGGTTTGAGGTTATATTTTCCTATTTTTTTCATGAAATTATGCAGTTTCTGGTCATTTTAGGAACTTTTAGCTGCAAAATTGCTGTATCACGGACTTTGGCTGAAAAATCACGGATTTTTTTCTGTGAATCACGGAATTAGGAAATAGTAGGAAAATTGAGTGTTGATATAAAACGGACGTAAAAAATACATTTTTTGGTCATAATACAACCTGAAACCATCATTTTGTTAAGAAAATTGTACACATTATATTGGTAAGAAATATTTTGTTCCAAATGTCGTAATTTTATTTGTTATAAAGCAATTTCAAGAGAACCGTCCTTAAGGTCACGGTATTTGGGCAGTTTACCTTATTGTGTTCAATTGTACCCCACTCCTTGTTCAAAAGTACCCCACCAGTGGGGTACTTTTGAACAATTTGCATACCTTTGTGAAAACAGACATTGCACATTAACATGTTCACTTGGAGGGCTTAACACGTTGACTGCGCGCGCCGACTTTACAGGCGCTCCCCAGTGGCGGGCGAAGCCCCGGCGCGCAACCGAATCAGCGAACGTAATTGGCATTCAAATATTTCAGTCTGACGAATCACAAAAGAGCAGTGGTGACTGTGCTGCGTTACCCCGAGAGTGGATGTAGTTCACTGAAACACCCAAAGGTAGCAGCACTGCACGGATCCGTATCCAGTGTCTTGTAATATGGGTTGAAGAGAAAAAATCCCCGAAACCGGGACAAAAGCATTGCCAGACAGGACTTTACGGGAAATTTTAGTACCAACCTACACCAAAGTAAAGCTCACATTCTAAGCTGGCAGGCTAGCAACAATTATAACGTCTCCGTCTGAGGCTAAGCTCACACTGACTCAATATATTTCTGTTGGTCTGGTGCCGACTTTAGTCGGCGCGCGCCACCTGGGAGCGCTGGCGACGCCGACTAAAGTCGGCACGCGCGGTCAACTTTAAAAAAAAATAACTAAGCTAACATTATGTTACAACTAAATGTAATGATGTTTTTATTAAAAACACATGAATTCACCTATAAAAAAATTAAGGTTTAAAAAGTGTTAAAATGTGCCCCAATTTCCCCTACTTACACTGAGATATGAGTAATTTTTATATGTCTACTTACAGTATTTTTAACGCTGAATCCAAAAATGCAATTAGTTTTTGTCGGAGAGATTCCTAAGTGGCCGTAAAACGAAGGTTAGGATTACGAACCTAAGGATAATTGAGCGGTACTGAAGGTAATGGTAATATGGCGTGGTCTGGACGGGTCCGTACTGAGTGAAGAGTGAGGACTGAGTGAGAAGAGCAAACAACTGTTTGTACTTGATCTAATGCGGAATGAAATCAAATCAATTCGCTTTTGAAACCAAATAATCAGTTCTTATTTAGGCATGTGAGGAAGGTAGGTCGGGTTTTATGCGGATTCGTGACTGTATTAAGTCTTTTGAAGTGAGGTTAGATTAGGAAGGTAAAGGTTAGGTTATAATGAACCGACTCATTAATTTATGCAACTTCCAGACTCTTTTTGCACAATTAAATAGTGGGTGAAACACAATGAAATAACGATATCAAAAATGCGCAAGCTAAGCTCCAATGTAAGTTAAGGTTCATTCTTATAACAAAATGAAACTTGAGAATCTCATCTTTCCATAATATGTATAAGAGTTATACCATTTCATTGACTATATCTTGCCTAAAATCCAAAGAGAAAATAATTGTTCACGCTAATTGACAAATTTTGTTGGTTGCCACTTCAGCAACACTATTTTGAGAACAACATGTTTTGTTGATTCGCCACTTGTAGGGTTAAATATTGTGATAGTTTTCATTTTTTTGATAGACTATTTGCGATTAAGTTAGGCCAAGGCCTTTTTATAACTTACATTGAAACCTTTATTATCCGCCAGATGGGGTGGGGGTTTATACCCCAATAAGTGGTAAAAATTAGCTAGCCTATAAGTTTTAAGCTCTATTTTTGTATGTTGTTGATCTTATTTTATAGTCTTTTGTTACCTTCTGGTCATGTGTTACCGGTAACATAAGTGTTAACTTTTTCTTTAAAAGAGTGACAGTGACTTGCGTTAAAATAGTTTCATATTATTTTGTTTGTTGTCTGAAAATATAAATCAAATACAATAGACATTATGCTAAATAGGCCAACAGTTTTTTTGTTGTTTTCAAACATCTGTTCATATTTAGGCTACCTAAATTAAATGACACTTAAGTTATTAACTTAAAATTGAATTGGTAACTTAAGTTAAATATTGAACAATTCTCATCTCGCTCATTAATTCACAATCATTACACCAGACTAAGGAATAATTTAGAGTTACCATCATTAAGACTGGCCTCAACACATAGCGCAGCTATAAATATTTACAACTCAAACTTTTCAATGCCCTCCTGAAAATGTACGCAACTTGCCTATTAAGTCACTGAAAAATGTATTGACCGATTTTTTGAACAGAAAGGTTATCTACTCTATCAAGGAATTTTTATCTCTCAAACATGATGATTTTTTGTAAAATTCTAATTCTTAAGTAGGATATTGTTTCTAAAGTATGTAACAAAGGTGTCATGAACTGTGATATAATAGTCTTTCATAATAATGTTATTCAAATCAAATCAAATCAAAACATACTTTATTTCCAAAAAATATGCAGATATAAATATAACATAACTTCCAGTGAACAGACACCCTACTATGCTATTGCATAGATAAAAATAATTAAATATAAAAATACATAAAAACTTAATAATAACAACAAGGATGTAAGGTCTCAGAGAAGCCATGTTAAACATGATACATTATAGAAATAAGCCTACATGGGCTGGAAGCCTGTGCGTAGGCTCAGTCGCTAACAGTGACTTACGTATTTGTTGGAAAAATACTATTCATAATATTCAGAGAATTTTAAAACAAATAATTTAATATAATTGTAAAACTATTCTGAGGCTAAATAAGTGAAATGAGCAATTTGAGGAATGAGGCAAGGCGGAGGGCACATACATAAATATAGTTAGAATGTTCGATGTTAGTAATTCAGTTATTCAGTAAAGATTACGAGAGAATAAAGTAGGGTCAAGTCTGTCTGTACTCTGCTTTGATTAGGAGTTCTGATTCATCTACACCCCACTCTATCAGACAGCCAGTGATGCATTTTTTGAAAATAGAAATCGATGGAGAATGAAACAAATGATAAGAATTACAACGGGAGATAACATTACGATATAAAACTTCAGAAATGTAAGAGGAATTTGTTAATGAGTAAGACTTGGCTAAATGGGAGGTAGTTATTCCGACATTCTGTGCATATCGGGTATTATAAGAATGTGATGTTTGGTTAAAAATAGAATCAAAGTTTTTGAAAACATGAATTGAAAGAAATTTGATAAATAACTGTCTTACACTGAGTAAGGATAATTCACGAAATAATGTGTTAGTGGGGTATCGAATAGGCTTATTGAAACAAACTTTGAGTAATAACTTCTGAAGGACAAAGTTCTAAAACATTGGGAAAAGCTCCGCCCCATACGATGATGCCAAATGAAAGTAACGACTGGACATAGGCGTAATATGCTAGCTTCATTTCCTGTGTTGTTAATATGTCACGCAGTTTCCTAAATGCAAAGATATATTTACGTAATTTAGAGGTTAAAAAATGTATGTGGTCAGACCACTTCATACGATTGTCAAAACTAACCTAAATATTTAACACAATATCTACATAACATAATATCTAACACCTAAATATTTATAGGAACTTACTTTCTCAATTTGCTCACAAGAGCAAAATCTATTTAAAAAGTTGCCACAAGAGTGAATTGAAATATTTTCCAAGTTATAATCAGTAGTATCTCTTAGTGAAATTGGTAAGAATTTGGTTTTTGAAACATTTAAGGATAGAACATTTTGGTCAAACCATTTTTTTATTAAAAGAAGATCATGATTAGCATCATCACGGACGTTTTCCCAACTTGTCCCGTTTTCAAGAATGACGGTATCATCGGCAAATAAAAACAGTTTGCCTTTAATTGAAAGTTTTGTGATATTATTTATATAAATTAAAAACAGGACAGGCCCAAGAGTGCTTCCTTGAATTACCCCGTAGTTTATGGGTTTTATGTCACTGGAAATTCCGTTAATCACCACACTTTGCTTTCTGTCTGATAAATAGCTTTGAAACCACTGATGAGCGGTGCCAGGTGCCACGAATGCCAATGTTTTCTAGTTTAACTAATAGCTTTGTTCGATCAACAGAATCAAATGCCTTTTTTAGATCTAGGAATACCAGCATACTCCGTCTGTTGTGAGAGATATTATCATTTATGTTTTTACTTACTTCGAATAGAGCGTCAGATGTATTTTTTTCTTTTACAAAACCGTACTGTTCTTTGCTTAAAATTTCGTTTGTTTCAAGGTAATTAACAAGCTGATCTTTCAAAATGCGTTCTAAAATTTTTGAGAAAACACTCAGCATAGATATGGGGCGGAAGTTATTGACGTCTGAAAAATTACTGTCAACTTTATTTAAAAATTTATTGTTATTTAGTTTTAAGCTGTATCTCACTGCCAATTTTAGCCCTAATTATTTTAATATAGGCACTTACCCAACTTGTTCGCTTAACTATAAACAGTATTATTACCATCATTATCAATACATCTCAAATACTTTTGTATAAAAAACCAGTATTATTAGTTTATTAGTATAGCATGTTCATCTATTTACACGTGACTCTGTACATTGTACTTTGAATTGTATATTATCTCCATTGACCTGGCCTATTGTATGACATGTATACTTAATGGCAATAAACTATTTGAATTTGAATACCCTTAAGCAAATCTGTAGGTATCTTAAAAATGCTAGTTTCTCTTTTGTCTTCTGCAAGCCTTTTTCATAAATATTCCACAAGTTAAATAACTTGCATCTATACTTAAAATATCTCTTTCTTTTGCAGGTACCGTGACGGTGGTCGTGGGGGTAGAGGTGGAGGAAGGGGAGGAGGACGAGGTGGTAGCCGAGGTGGCCGAGGGGGGGCTGGGGGAGGAAGGGACAGATGGGGTGGCAGCAGCGAGGGGGGACGAGACAGTTGGGGTGGAAGGGGCGGAGGGAGAGGAGGAGGTGCTGGTAGAGGTCGCTTGACCAAGTCGGACCAGCCTGGTCAGAACCTTCGTAAACCTCGGTGGGATATGAGCACATTGGAGTCTTTCAGGAAGGACTTTTATGTCCCTCATCCTACTGTTGCCAACAGGTACTCAAATAATACTCTGAACGACCAACTATTTTTATTGATGAATTCATTTTAGCGAATTTCCCATATAGGGAATAAGCTATTACCGTAGTACCATAGATAAAACATACTCCCTTAGTTGATTCCCTATCCTTATGGAACAGCTGAAGTCAATTTTATCGTTAGTTCTGTCCGGTCCACTGTGGATGCCGTGTTTTGTTTACAATTTGTTTCTTGCTATTTCAGTAATTTAAAACCCCGTCAAATACGATAAAATCATATTATATAATATGATCATATCATATCAACTATAACTCATCCTCTAGTTATGTACGGTAACCAAACAGTAAAGCACAAATCATGAAATTGGCTCTAAAATAATAGAAACAAAATTTTGTCAACACTAGCCACCAGTGTCACCGGACATGAACTAGACACGAAAAATGAGCTTCAAAATTTACAATGGGATGGGAAGTCTACTTGTGTTGGTTAGTCTATGGTAGTACTCATGGTAAGACCTGGATCCGGGACAGAAAATATGGTAAATTTAAAATTCCCATGTTATTCTTATGGAGAATAAGTAAATTGTTGTAGTTTGCTTGTTTATGTACATATTTTGATTTAAAATTAGGAAAATGCATTTATTCCATACTAAACTATTCACATAAGAAAACCACTTTTACCCTCCCTGTTGCAGCAAACCTAAGTACGTTACTTGTTAAACTAATGCTATTTAAATAGGGAATAAAATGTGATAGTTTTAAGGAGATATTATAGTGTAAATCCAAAAAGATAAATGGAAATTCGCTTAGTCTGCAGGTTTGCTGCGGCAGGGGTATTTTAAACATAGATCCAAGATCAGTTAGACATTGGTAAAACATTGAATCTAGTTCAGAACCTTTCAAATATAGGCTATTGCTATTGATGTCTTAGGCCTATTATTTTTTTGTCAATATTCTAGTTATCTATGCTTATTACCGGTAGGCCTACTACTTTCGCTTTCATAATTAATTACGTCTAGGGTAAAAAATGTCTAAAAGAATGAGACCTAAATATAAGAATTCCATAAAATTTTTCTTTTTTTCATTCTTGTTATATTGACTTTTATAAGTTAAATCCTACACAGTATATCTTTAAAAAATGTCACTGTTGTTCAGCTTTAAAGTTATTAGCTACTTAAAATACTGTATGTTTACCTCAATTATCTTTAACTTATACAATACCATGTAAAATTTCAGACCCCTGGCAGAAGTTACTAGGTATCGTCAATCCATGGAAATCACCACTAATGGAGATGGTATACCAAATCCTATCTGTTTCTTTGAGGAAGTCAACTTCCCTCCCTATGTAATGGAAGAAATTAGGTAAATGATTACTCATATTTTTATAAATAATCATATGCGTTTAATTCTAACCAAAAGAATTATATTTCAAGCAACAATTGTGTGAATTAAGGAAACTGATGAATTTATTCTAGTAGTTTTTAGAATATTTAAAGATAACCATGACATTTTAGAAAATTTTCTATTGCCTATAGGGTATTTAAGCTATTACCATTTGTTTCATGGTAAATACCTAGATCAAGCTGCGATGGGGGTATTGTCAGTTAATTTATAGGGATAGAAACTAACATTGTTGTAAATATACTGTCCTTTTTACTTGACTCTTGAGTTTTTACTTTGATCTTTGTTAACCAACTACTTAACTTATACAGTTTTGAATACAACCTATTTTTATGTTATATTTCACAAACTTATCAATATGTTTACATATTTCTCTGTATATTACAGAAAGCAAGGTTTCGACCAACCAACAGCGATTCAAGCGCAAGGTTGGCCGATTGCTCTGAGTGGCCGAGATATGGTTGGCATCGCCCAAACTGGATCTGGCAAGACTTTGGCGGTAACTAAGACTTTTCTCTCATTTAGCTTTAGCTATTATTTGTTAGCCTATTTATTCTTCACTCATTTACTTCAGTTAATCATACTGGAATGTAAAGATATCATTTTACTTACCAACCTGGTATGCTATTTAATGTCATCTCTTCCTCAATGGCATTTAAACTTTGAGCCTGAGATGAGTTGGATAGGGGTGATACCTTGAGTGGCATACTTACCATACAATATGTAAAAGATTGTCATTACTATTTTATCCATCTTAATTTCCCTACAAAACTGACTTGTCTAAAAAAGTTAAATTTATTGATATAGGCATAAAATTTCATTTCAACATTTGAAAGCTTTTACATTCAATTGATTTTTTGTGGCACTGTTCATAGTTTGTTTGGTGGTTTTCCTAGGATATTACATATGGTTTATAACATTTTTTTTCTCCATTGCAGTACATTCTACCAGCCATAGTCCACATCAACAATCAGCCAAGGCTGTTGAGGGGAGACGGACCCATCGCCCTAGTGTTGGCCCCCACCAGAGAACTGGCTCAACAGATACAGCAGGTTAGTAGACAACAACTATCAGTGTCGGCAGTAGTTATTCCAGCAAAGCAATACATTTTTAAAAACAATCCTCAAAACTGATAGCAAATGTCCCTTTAGCGAAGTAATTTACCATACGTGGCTTGGTAAGACCTAGACCCACGGACAGATTTACTTTTTCATTTTCATGTTCCCAGAGGCCAAAAACACTAGCCTATTCGTTAAAATGTGTGTATGTGGTCCGTGTAGCCTTTTGTAGAACCAAGTAGCCTACGTGATAACTTGAGTAATTTTGTAAGTAGCCTACATGATAACTTGAGTAATTTTGTAAGTAGCCTACATGATAACTTGAGTAATTTTGTCCAATTTTGATTGAGTTTGGCATGAACGTGTTGTCGAATTAGTATGTGAACCAGCAAGATTGGGTCATGGGAACAGGGGTTTATGGGGGGTTAACAGGGTTTTCCCATTTTTCATCTTGTAAACAAAAAATTTTGCAATTTCTTTCCAAACCACTTTGTAGAGCTAAAAAAAGCAAATAATGTAGTATATTGAAGCATTGTTGTATGTGTAACGGTTACGGAAAAAATTCCCAAAAAGTGTAAATTTAAAATTACCATGTTATTCTTATGAACTGTTGAAGCTGTTGAAACTGTTGTAGCTTGCTTGTTTATGAACATATTTTAGTAAAATTTAGAAATTTAGAAATTATGTTCACTTCATACTAAACTATCAATATTTCAATTTTAAAAATCCTATTTTCTTCCCTGTAGCAGCAAACCTAAGTAGCCTACTCATCAAAATTTATGATATTTAAATAGGAAATAAATCTGTCAATAATTTTAAGGGAATAATTTAGTGGAATTGAAGCCAGGTAGATGGAAATTCGCTTAGTCTGCAGGTTTGCTGCGGCGGGGTTATTTTATTTTAACTCTGTAAACAGAAAAATGCCCGACTTTCATTACAACTATCGTGTAGGTAATTTTGTATATGAAAGGGTTGTTGTAGGACGGAGGAAATTTAAAATTCTGTAAATTTCAGCTAAAATTCCCATTTTATGCTTAAGGAGAAAAAGTAAACTGTTGTGTAGTTTGTTTGTTTATGGATGTATTAACTAGAAAGCAAATCTGATAAGTTTATGGAAATATTTGAGTCAAAATCCATTCAGACAATTGGAAATTTGCTTAGCTTATAGGTTTGCTGCGACGGGGTTTATTGAATTAAAATAAGCATTCTCTCTCATACCTATGACAATTAGAATAACAAAATAAATAGTTTGTCTATAAGATCAGTGTTCACCCTGAACGTGGCAAATATTTCAGGACGGATCTTTTTGCATGTTGGTGTGTTTGTCATCATGTGTAGTTTTTACGAATCCTAGATATAACCATTGTAGTTGTTGCTTGAAATGAACTATAATTGCAACTTTGTCATGGGTGGGAACTCAGACAATTGATTTCATAAATTTGTTCTCTATCAAAATCACTTAAATGGGTCGGTATGGTTAGCTGCTGCTACTACTACCTCATATAACCTCTGTCTCCGATAAATGACTTTGTATACATGTTTGTTGTGACAGGTTGCTACAGACTTTGGATCTTCAACATATGTCCGCAACACATGTCTGTATGGAGGAGCGCCTAAGGGGCCGCAGGCTCGTGACATAGAGCGAGGGGTGGAGATAGTGATAGCGACACCCGGCCGACTTATAGACTTCTTGGAGCGAGGACAGACCAACCTGCGACGCTGCACTTACCTGGTGTTGGACGAGGCCGACCGCATGTTGGACATGGGCTTTGAGCCCCAGATCAGGAAAATAATTGAACAGATCAGAGTAAGTACCAGGTTCATAGATCAAGATTAAAACTACTTTGAATTCTTTATTAGTGGATAAAAGAGTAAGAGGAATTTAAGTAGAATTAAGTTGTTGAAAATCATATCAAACTGGTGAACAGATAGGCATCATGAGTAAGGATTCTCTATTGTAATTACTAATTAGCTATCGATTTGCTATACCGAAACCTACCAATTTTTTCGTACTACACCAACCCCTGTCTATATGTTCTTACACAAAGTTATTATGGGGTAATATACGTTGTTTTTAAGTAGGGAAAAAATTAGAGCGGCAACGAAAAATTCTGACTAGCTAATTTTAATCTGAACTTCTAAACTGGAAACATAATCTTTGTCTTCCGATATGGCAGGACAATATTGAACATCTCCTGCAGTACGGAAACATCACCATTGTCTACCGCGATAGCAACGAAATCCTGCTTATCTCCCGTAGCCTTGTGGACTCATTGTCATCTGCTGCGGCCATGGAAATATTTTTGTCTTCAACCGCAATCTTGGAAAATCCTGCAAACTTCTCAGACTGGGTATCACTTTGGTATTGATCCTTGATACCGATGCCAATGTACCAGAATCAGTGGTTTTGAGAATAGACACATCCCTAAATTGTAATATAAAATTCTATAATACAACTAAAACTTGATTTGGAATGGAACCACAACATAAGAGTTTATAATTGAGTGTAAAAATGATTTTTGGTGTTACAGCCTGACAGACAGGTACTGATGTGGTCTGCTACCTGGCCCAAGGAGGTTAGGAACCTGGCAGAGGAATTTCTCAACAACTACTTGCAGATCAACATTGGCTCTCTCACATTGGCTGCCAATCACAACATCCATCAGATAGTTGAGGTCTGCGATGACCCAGAAAAACCTGACATGTGAGTTGATCCAGCTTGCTTGATATTTACTTTATACCTGATGCACAATAAGCTACGGTTTACGTTTATGGACAATGAGTCCCAGCTCCTTCCCATCAGTCAACTCTTATTCCAACATGATTTGCTGGTCTAGTTTGTAGGAGTCCAAAACCACAATCTACCAAATCTCAAGAGAAAATTCAAATCTGAGATTTGGGAATTATTGGCATGATTAGATATTCAAATCTCTAATACCATGTTTAGTTACAATAACCCAAGTGTTTTGTAAGAGGATTATTCAGTAAAAGTACTGGGATCGGAATTTCCTTTTCATGTCTGAGAAAATATTTAATTATATATAACTTTATGAATTGAAAAATAAGGAGGATAGCAGCTAGCAGTGTAGGCAGGCGGAACATACAGAAAAGACACTGAACAAACAATATTTTGTCCCTTGGGGACTTTGTCAAGTGTAGAGTTAGCTCTCTATTACTTTACACTACGCTTGACAAAATCCCCCTGTGGACGAAATATTGTGTATTCAGTGTCTATTCTGTATGTTCTATGGCCTACCTACACTTCTTGTTGTACAATTCAAAATTCTGGCCTAGAGCATTTCCTTGAACAAAACTACTTATAAATTATGTAATGGTTTTAGACATTTTCAGGAATTTATTTTGATCATGGAAATTTTGTTACATTTTTGTGATTGCGGGAGATGATCATGATGTTACCAAGATTTTGGGAACATGATCATTAACATTAACATTTAATGATGTCCTTTAAATGTTATTGTTCTTAAATTTGAGACTCATAACTTGATTTTTAAAACTTGGATTGACAGGGGACAGTGATGAAGCGAGTAGGGTGTTGTAATTTTTAAAAAGCGATTTTGCTTGACACTTGATCTTGAGGTCGCAATTGGTATGTAATCCATAGTTCATGAGGTTTTAAGTACTCAATACAAGGATGGTTTTTTACTGAAGAGGGAACCATAGAACAATAAAAAATCCCTTTCTTGTAATGCTAGAAGTATTTATGATTTTACACTTCATATTATCTGAGATTAGAACTAATATTGAAATGTTGGGTCCTGATGTTTGTGGCTGAAAAAGAAAGAATGGTCAAAAGACATTATTTTTTTTGTCCACTTTCAACTCGATTATCCCTCCACGTTTCTTACACATAGAAACATTTAAATCAATTCATAAGTAATCGTTATTTGTCGCAGCAAAATCCTAACTATCTTCCACGGTCTTGGAAACATCATTATTGTCTCCCACGATAGTGGCTAAATCCTGTATATCTTCGGCAATCTTGTGGACATCCCCTCCTGCAATTGCAACAAAACCCTGAAATCTACTAACGGTCAGAGGAACATCATCTGGTCATCATGGTCTTTCGCAACTGTGCAAAATATTTAACATCTCCCAAAGTCTCGGGAACATCATCATCGACTTCTGCAATCGAGGCAAGATAAGAATATATTCCGCAGTCATGTGCACTTTATCATCTTCCGCTTTAACAGCAAAATTCTGATCATCTCCCGCGGTTTTGTAAACAATATCACCGTCTCCTTCAGGAAAGAAAATGTTATCAATGTCCTCCATGATGACAATGAGAGCATGCATTTTTTTATTGTGTGCTCTGTGATCACGACAACTGACGGTTATCGGCTTCTACCCCTTGACAATACAATATCAAAGAATCAGTGGTACCAAGAATCGACACATAACTAATTTTACTAATAATCACAACAAGAATAGGTCATCCATGAATGTTTTCTTGTGTAAATAAGATTTGCATTTTCTCGAATCCATGGTGTAACAACCTTGGATACATTACATTTCACAAGTTAAGTCCAATTGCATGTGATGTTGCATTATTCATTGAAAATCTATTGTCCATTTGCGGGTGCAAAACTTAACTTAACATTCAATACTTGTAAGAAAATCCTGTCATGCTATATTATATATCCTGTGAGAACATGTGTTTGAGCGATACTTCTTTTCAGGTTGCTTAAACTTCTGAATGACATTTCTCAAGAGCCTGATAATAAAGCCATCATCTTCGTCGAGACGAAACGAGGAGTGGATGAGATAACTAGGACTGTACAGCGTGCAGGGTAAGTGTGTTTAGTCGGTGTATCATTTACTTCATTAAACTGTACTGTGTAGTAATAAACTATGTCCTTTAACCCCATTGATTTGGTAACTAATAGTTATAGTTCATGGACCGTAAAATATCGGACAGTACTTATGAAAAAAATAGCCTAAAATTTGCAGACATTATAAATGTTTTTTTTATTCTATGGACTCCACTTGTCAATAGATGTGACTATAAAATGAAAAAAGGTGTTTAAATCATCGCTGTACGAATGAAATAATTGTAAAGTACGGTAGAAACCCAAAAAGTTTATAATTAAAACTATAGGTACTCAGCAACTACACCTGGTAATTTTTCTTTCACAGTCATATAATGATTGCTCCAAATTTACAAATATTAAGTGAACCAGTTGAATTTAAGTTTATCAATTAAATTTTGTACAAAGTATTTATTTGTGTCTGCTCTAGCATTATTATTTTATTATTTCAGGTACAATGCAATGGCAATACATGGAGACAAGTCACAGCAGGATAGAGATTATGTTCTGGCTGGTATGTTACTATAGTATAGTAAAAAAGTTATTTTCTAATATTCCATTTTACAGTAGAACCCCTCATCTTGGTTTTACCGGCCCTCTGTTTATCCGGCCCCTTCCAGGAAGCCAATATCAAAATTTTTTCTCTCAGCTTACAGACGTTTTAGATGCAAACACTAGTCTTTGTGACTGCTCAAGTCATAAAATAAATTGTTCTCATTATTTATCTGTTTGTTTATACATTTATTTGCTGAGTCACTATACCCAGTTAAGCTAGTAGGCCTAACCTCTTATCAGTTGGTTGATTATTTCCAAAGTGGGGTTAGTACAGTACAGTAAGAGTACATTAATTTTTGTATTTCACAAAATGGTTAAGAATGTTGAGTAGAAATGCATGTACCATTGAAGTCCGAATGATCTTTAAGTACAATTTATTGTCACTTTTACCTCCATTTAATAGGTTTTGTTACCTGGAATCATAATATTTGTACATTTATTACTTAATGACTTTAACCTACAAATATTTTTTTTTCTTTTTACAAACATGTTTATTTTTTTTTTAAATGATCCCAGAACAGAATTAAATGATACTTTTGATTGCATATATTGATTACCTATTAAGGCCGGTCTACACGCAAGGATTTACCGTACGTTTTACCTGCGCAAGTAAATTGTTGCAGTTAAATCGTTGCGTGTGTACCGCAAAACTGTGCATTTTTGAGAACTGCGCGGAGACGGAAGACGGAGCGATAAAACTATTGCTGAGAGCATAGTTTTGACAACGTTTTCAGTAGGGGTGTGCGAATAGTGATTTTCAACCTCGAGCCGAGCCGAGCCGAGCTTTTTAAAACATTTTCGAGCTCAAGCTTTTTCGAGCCGAGCTTTTCCTAGCGTCACCTTATAATAATAATAATAATAATAAATCTTTATTGTCGTTTGGTAATATAAACATTACAATAGACAAGGTCAACATGTTTTGTTACATATGTTAAATAAAATATTAAATATTCTACAGAAAATGTTAAAATAAAGTTAAAAGAATCTTAAAAGGATAAAGCATCAGTAATAATAAAAACTTTAAAATTAACAGGGAAAAGACCATAACAAGAACAAAGAATCATCAAGACTGCTTGGCCTCACATTGAAGCGTTAAAAAAATCTTCATTCTGCAAAAACTCATCAACTGAATAAAAAGCACGACTTGTAAGCCAATCTGACAATTTTGACCTATACAAATTAATACTTTCCTGATTTCTAAAATGTATTGGAAGTTTATTAAATAGTTTTATTTGCAAATATTTATAACTTTTGATAAATTTTGATAGCCTGGCTTGAGGAATATATAAATCTTTTGATTGTCTGGTGATATACCCATGGATTGAGTTGCAAGGAACAAATTTATTCAGATTATCTTTAACGGAAACTAAATTGTAAAAAATGAAAATATTAGAGAGGGCCATGATTTTATTTTCAGCAAAAAATGTTTTGCAACTAACCCTATCTGGAATTTCAAACATAATTCTGAATTCTGAACATTATCAAAAAAATAAATTATTAAACATTTTTCTTCAAAAAGTGCATAATAATAATAATGTTCAGTCAATTTTTAAATAAACACATATTATTTTAATATGTCTAAAAACATTGAGAATTGTCAAGACATCAAATAGTAGATAATCACGATAAGAACTGAACTGAACTAAATTAAGATGCAAGAAATAAAAGGATATGATTGAAGGCCTGACGAGATATGCAGTGCAGACTGAGCCAATCAGATTGTCTTTCATAACAGAACAGCGCTATCTCGAATGACAACAAAACAACTAGCAAGTCGATTAAATGATTAAATATGTATATTGTAACTACTATGAATACTTTATTCCATTTTGTATAAATAAATAAATATAAAAACACGTGATTATTCTTGTTGTTTTCCATGCACAAAATATTTTTGTTTTATGAATCGTATTAATCAAAAAAGAACATGATTGGTTTGGATCCAAAAAGATGAAGAGACAAAGTAAAATTATATATTAAAAAATATATAATTGACATATAGAGGAAATATACCAAAACACTAAAATTAATAGAATAACACACAAAGTCCTAAAACAAGAAATGAAATAATGAACACGATGATTTAACACTGTCACTAAATTCTGTTATCTAGAAGGGTCGGTGAACTAATCAATAAATAGCCAAAACCAGTTTCCTCCCCCATTTCTCTCTCAGTCTCACCACCACCCCTCCCCCCCTGAGCCGGGAGGCCCAGCACTTTGTCCTTGAAACACCCTAGCCTCTGAAACAATAAACCCTTACACCTGCGTTGCTGTTTTGACAACAGGTTTATGAATGCATTCACTATTTTTCTTTTTCCAGGATTAACTATCAATTATTATTATTTGCAAGTTACAAATAGGAAACTACATCACATTATGGTATTCAATGACCCATGTACAGTATTATCAAAAATTAATAATCCATTACTTATTTTGATAATAAAAAGCATTCATTACAGCACGCACCACTTATTGATATTTAAATAATCATCAAAGTAACTGTTACTTTATACAAAATAAAATAGGTACAAAATTGTGTGGCCAGTCAAACTTTATAAACAAACATTTTATTCTATAAAATACAGATGGTAAATAGGGGTTGGTTTAAAGGAAATAAAATACAAAACAGATAATTAATTATTTTGATAAACATTAGAAAGGTTATGGGATTGATTGAACTAAAATAACCGCAGGGAAACTTATAAGTAGAAAAGTCGTCACTGTTCAATCAGTACATTGTTAGAGAGAGAGAGAGAGAAAGAGAGATAGCAGATAGGGGCGTTTGATAAGGAATCTGAAAAAGTAAACAAACAAGGAACAACGACACGACACACGACGATTGATACTTGTTTACAGCCTTATTGTGTCACCCACTACATTTGCACATGTGACCACTTTTTGTTTCTTCCTTATCTTTCATCCGTCCCAAAATAGAATTCCTGAAATTGTTTGTTGGTATAATCTCCCCTCCCACACAAGGCGCAGTGCTCAGTGCGCACTGTAGGTTGCCACCAGTGTTTCCACAAGACCAAAAAAATAATCCCGCTTACTGAGTCGAGAAATCCCGTTTTATCCAGCATGATTTTTTTTGTACAATTCCTTGTATTAAACTTTACGTATCATTTTTATAAGTTGTTTAAACATCACTATTGTATTTTGCTACAGTATTTAAACAATTTGAGTTAGTTTTTCGCTCAAATTGAGAAGAAAAAAATAAAAATAGTCGTCACAGCCGAAAATCCCGTTTTATCCCGCATCCCGTTTTAATCCCGCTCGAGGTCTAAAAATCCCGTTTTCGGGATAATAATCCCGCGAATGGAAACACTGGTTGCCACGGCAACCGTGTGTCGTCATAGCGACGAGCCAATCACGCACTCGCACTGCGTTGTATATTACGATACGAATAGCTGTGTTAGAAAGACATCGCGATAGGTGGTAGTTTGTCTCTTTACTATCTCCTCAAAATTACGATCGATAATCATTGCGTCTTGACTGAGCTGAGGTTCGTGCTTATCAAACCTTGAATGCTTGAACAACGTAGAATTGTGATAACATTGTTTCCAATTACGACCCAAATTAAGTGTTTTTTTTTAGTTTTGACTTAGTATTAAAAGCTCGGCTCGAACTTCGAGCTTTTTCAAAATGCCTCGAGCCGAGCCGAATAATGAAAAGCTCGACCAAAAAGCTCGAAGGTTCGAGTACTCGCACACCCCTAGTTTTCAGACAAGTCGTTGCGTGTAGACACTGTCATCCGTTTCAACTCCGTCTTCACGCTCAAAACCCCAGTATGCAGAGTTGTCTTCACGTGGTGTCAGATGCATAAGTGTGTTTTTTAATTACGATCGCAGATCTTCGCCAATGTTATTTTATTGTTAAATTCATCGAACTGTCCAGAAGTGTCCTTAATTTATGGAGGGTCAAGAGTAAGGAATATAGTGACTGTGATAAGAAAAAAGGCTTAGATTCTTTTGAAAAATACAAAGCAGTAGATTCAAACGTGAACAGAGAAACTATTATGAAGTTTGTTGTCTTTTTAGTAACCAACGTCTTGACCATAGTGGGTGCCGTCGTCTCTCAGACTTATTTCTTTGCTTTCTTGTAACACTGGCTGCAGAAATTGCCAACAGAAACACATCTTCCATGATATTACATGCACATACACTGAAAGTTATCACAAAACTGCACTAAAAGTTGGTGCTGAAACCTGCACCGTGTGGACGCATTTCTTTGCAACGACTTGACTGCAACGTTTTACCTGCGCAGGTAAAATGTACGCGAAATCCTTGCGTGTAGACCCCCCTTTATTATTAGGTATGAATTGTCATTTTCATAGTAGGTTGGTTTATCCGGCCAAATCGTTATCCGGTCAGGGACTTGGTCCCGTGGTGGCCGGATATGAGGGGTTCTACTGTAGGTGCTAATACTGCCCAAAATCGTACTATTTTAACAACAAAAAATAATAAAAGAAATTCTCTACATGGTTACTGTCGGGGGATAAAGTTTGGACACTTAAGTTTGGAGCTTTGCAGGAAAGTAACTTAACATGAAGTTTATTAACATTTGCTTTGTTTATTATGTGTGGTATTATAAAAATATTGAGTCAGTTGTTAAAGACACACAAGATGCGAGTCACCTTTCTGCACTGAATTCCTGCACAAGCGATAGCGTTTGCACTACTTACATGCGCTATATTCAAGGAATTTTGAACATTCCGGCTATCAAAAATACGAGCTCAAAAAATGTTTATTTAATAAGAATAAGGCAGAATAAAGCACACACAACAGCAACACAAATTACTAAACAGCTGTTTATTATTATTGGCAGAATTGAACATAAACTGGAAGTCGTCTTGGAGAGAGGTTATCTTTACATGAAAAGCATTTTCCTTTTCTAGCATAGTTTAATAATAATTAATGATGCATTATGATGAAAAATATAGTTCATCACACGGGTAAAAAGTGTCTTGTCAACTCTTGCTCATTTTCCGACCTTGGCTTCGCCTCGATTGTGAAAATTGAGCTCAGGTCGAAAAGAGTCTCTTACCGCCCTAGTGATAAAATATACTATTTTTTTTATCATTGTTGATACTATCATCAGGTGAAACAGTACAAAATCAAACCAAGATTAAACACAATCCAGCTGTAGCCAAAATGTTGGGTGAATTACAATAATTGGGTGTATGCACACAAAAATTGTACAATGGTCAAAACATCTAGACACATTTTTTTAATAACTTTATCACAAAGTTTTATAGCAGTGATGTAGATCAATAATCAGAATGAACAAACAGCTATAAATATACTAAATTAACCCTGTATCTATGTTAACAGTTTTTCAGACTTAACAAATACAATTTAGTAGTGATTATTCCACTAATTTCACTAGTTGAACAATTTTTTACAATGAGGCTTTTAACATTTTGAAATAAACAATGATATCGATGGTTATATGCACAAACATTGTATGTCCAATTTTTTTCACTTTTGACATTTTTATATATTTGGAAAGCTGTAGTCTTCATCTTTCAGATCACACATATTGTATGTCCATATTACAATAGGAAAAATTAATATAAATTCTCAAAAAAAAGTGTTCACTTTGGTATGATGTAATTTTATCCTGCACACTTGTAGCATGTCCAATGATTGCAGTACCAGCTGAACAGAGAAAAACTCCTTTAGAGCACAGATATAGTATCTTTGGACTTGCAATGATTGTGCATGAAAATACAAGGCCTACTATATCTGGTATTTGTTTTTTATCTTGTAGTATGTCCAACAATCTGATGATCTCAAGTGCACTCTTATAGTATGTCCACATTTTATATTACAATTAGGTTAGTCTTGGGACATACAGCATCTGTGCACAACAGAACATAACACCAAAAAAGAATCCGTGAATTGGCTAAAGGTAAAGTGGTTCGAGTTTCAAAAAGCAAACCCCTTTGAAATTCTATACAAATACAAACTTAACAAGGAAATAGAGTTTTTGACTCTTGATGTACGAATGGATTCCGAGACGCCATTTATCTGGGAACAACAACTTCTCAGTCTGAAGTACACCGAGCCTATTCCGGTTTCCAGCGCCAAGAAAAAGGATTTGATGTACCTACTTAAAGCGGGTGTAATCCCAGAAGCATTCACACATTTTGTCACTGAAATCCCTAGTTCGGGATTGGCAAGAGATATTGTCCTTTACGTCATTGAGGAAGAAGGAGGAAACGAGCCTCTCACTGAAGTTACCAAAAAGGAAGAAGGAAGACGCAGTAGAAGAGATGTTATACGGCAAGAAACCAGAAAAAGAAGTAATTGAAAGAGACCAAGAAAACCAAGGAGGCTAAAAAAAACCCACAAAAAATAAAAGAAATTAAAACTTCATAAGAAAATAAAGTAATATGTCTAAAGGACAGAACTGTTGAATAAACCCCATAAAGACTGACTCAACAAAATACAGTTTGTACTGTATAGGTACCATTTTACAAAAGGCACTACCTGATTTATTTCGTGCTTTGTTTAATGTTTCGTTTAGGCCTATTTGTGTTTAAGTTTCTAATAGCTAATAGGCCAAGTAATTTTATTTTTAAAATGTTAAAAATAAAAGTAGTCACCAATGTAAGACAATAACAGCCATGGGCGCCCGCAGGATTTGGAACAGGGGGGTGCAATATATACGTCTAACGAACCTCCAGGGGTTCGGGGCCTTCCCCGGGAAAAAAAACTAAAAATATAGTGTTTTAAAACATATTTTTACGCTATTTTGTAACACATAAAACTAACCAAAACAAAATAGTACATTGTGCATCAAGGACGGTCACCTGAGGGAGACATCGTTTTTTATGCCAACATTAAAAATTAACCAAACAATTATAAAGAAAAAAAAATTATAGTTAGTTGAATAAAGCCAAGATAACAGCCAAGAAAGTTGATGTTTTGTATTCTGAATAGTTTTGTTAAAGTATTAAAGTATACAAAGTATAAAAGATTTTTACATCTGTGAGTCAACTACTTATTTGATTTAAACATCAATTTAAAACATTTTTTAGTCATGACCATTTTGAACATAGGCTACTTTTATAAATTCCTTAAAACCCAAGTGATCACAGAACATTATGTGTATTAAATTTATTTCTAATGTTTTTAGCCAGAGGGCGCCCATGATAACAGTTTTTTAAATTTTTCATTCCTTACTAAAACCATCTAGGGGCAGTTTTTGTATTGCACACTCGTAGCATGTCCATAAATCTGCGTGTTCAGAAGTGCACACATATAGTATGTCCAACATGGTTTGATTTACAAATTATTTGTAAAAATGTGGCTTGAATAAAGATAAAACTATTTATGTAGATGCATTTATTATAAATGTGGCCAATAAAATGTATTCATTTCAAACATTTAACAGTTTTAGTTTAAGTTTCCCCCATAATACAAACTTTGTTTTTGCGGTTTCCGAAAGTTTACCAAAATGGACATACAACTATTGTGCTTATAACCATCGATATAGCCTATTGTAGTTTTTTTTTTTTTTAACTGAACTGTTTATTTCGTTTACTTCATATGCATGATTAAATTCTTCTCTAAATGATAATCGTTTCCCATATTTCACTTTTTAAGTTTCTACTTTTCTCCACTTCCAACACTGTACTTGTAGTAACGTGTGGTTGCCTGTTTTAGATTTTCGGTCAGGAAGATGCAATATTCTGGTAGCGACGGACGTTGCCGCGAGAGGCTTAGGTGAGTAGACGTCGTAATATCGTAAGAGTCCGGACAGACTGCCGGGTGTCACGGTAACTGGAAGAGAGCCTCCATCAAGGTGAACTGTGCAAGGTACTCGCTCACTAGCCTCACTTACTCTTAATGCTGTTAGTATTTGCCATAAATATGTATCTAGTTGCTTTTTTTTAAGTGTGTGTGTTGGTTAAGAATTAGATGTAAGCAACAAATTGTTATAACACGTTTGCTGCAATGTGGGGTTAATAATTTATTTTTTGTGTGAATTGTTTTTATTGTGGATTTAAAATTAAAAACTATAATATATTCACTCTAATGTTGTATTCATACACAAAATTTTGTAAAAATTTAAAACTAAAATAATTAACCCGATGTTAAACATTTCTGTATTGCACAAATAATTTCATTATTTCCACTGACTCAGCCTATTTGTATATTCTAAAGCCAAATTTACATTTATTTATTTGCACCTGCAATTGTTGATGGCACTGTTAAAACAAATTAGCCTCCTAATCTCAGTATATTTTCCACAACATTTACAAATAACTATATTCAACTATTGGCAATTGTTTTTCACCCAGTTTTAAATCTAACAGTCCTGCAGTTGTATTCACTGACATACTTCCACCCAATGACTATTGCAGTAAACATGTTAATCCTCTGATAATACTAGTTGTAAGATCCTCATTTTGTAGCCAATAGAACTTGTGACCAGATAAATGGTTCACAGTTGGTAATACTAATACAGCTTAATTAGCTTGACCAATTAAAAACAGACTTATATCGGCCAAAACTGTTTAGCAAAAAGGCTTTGGCTGTAACTGAATAAGATTGTGGCAAATACAATAGGCAGCATTTTGTGTAGGCCAGTGGTTCCCAAACGTCTAGGGCATTCATTGATTTATCGCCCATGAAATTAATCTGGGATGAATCGAGGTGGACACAACTCTTGGGTTTTCATTATGCTAAATGACTTAAACATTTAGAAAAGCCTTGTAAAGTCTTTTGAATTTTGTCACAAATTTGGGAACTGCTGGTGCGGGCTGTTATCAGTGAATGGGAACTGAGACAAGAAATAGTCAATGGACCTGGGACTCGCATCCCAATGGGGATTTTGTATTTGCTTTTGAAATGTGTCGATGGGTGCTTAAACTCTGCACCTGTCACTATATTAACTATCAGCATGATGTAGTCATTATGCGGAGTATCTGGTATTTGCCACCAGAAGCTGTAAAGTAAGTGATAGGTGGAGTAAACAGATACAGATAGTATCGCCCAGGTCCACTCTGGTTTGTTACTGCACAGTTCATAAGAGGAGGAAATGTTAGAGAAGGATCAAACATATGATAGATATTTAATAGGGCTTACTCGTCATAGAACATCACTAACCACATAAATCTGTGGGGATGGAATGTTTGTTATCTGTACACTGGGATGACTTATCAGTCTAAGAGTAGGCCTATACCATGGAACACATGCACAACCATAAGATTTGACTACAAAGGTTTGTGCACGACTAGAGGGTGTATAGGTTAACTATTATTTTGGTAGGTAATAATTACTTTACCCATTATTTTTTACCTTAGTGCTTCTCTTAAGAGTTATTCTCTCAAAAATTCAAAGGGAAGAATCCAACTTATTTTAGACAAGCACATCTCTGTCTCAGTCTAATATATCGTAATGATGTTTGGAGCAAATATTTTGTTTGGGTTGTCATTGTGGCAATATTTAGTATTACCGTTGTTATTAAAAAGAGTGGGAAAGGCAGTGATAATGATAAATTATGAATAGTAATTTCAAAGAATCATTGGTAACAAGAATTGACTAACCTCTGCTTTTGATTACAAGGATAACTAATTAGGGATGATATCTTAGTACGAATCCACTAAAGTCTTTTAACAATTTTTGATATATTGACAATTATGTTGTTAACATCCACAAGACAGTTATTAATTATAAAAGATGTGTTACACTGGCTTTGGCGATTGATTCCAACCAGTCACGTTGGTCATCATCAGGTCCAATGGGAGACCTGGGAATTTTTCTTTCCGTGGTCCCTGCACTGGAGTAGGTAAGAATGTTCACGAGTTTTTACTGTCCTAGATAAGTGCATTTCTAGACACCCCTCTTCCAAAGGGTAATTTGGCTACTGTGCCTACTATAGGAAAGTTAGTCAAAAAATATAATTTGATTTTGACATTTTTTGTTTGATGGGGACTTAAAAGGACTCTTAGGTTTTATCAAGCCATTAAGGAAGGATTTGTGCTAAATGTTGTTGATTGAAAAGGGGTCCAACTAGTTATTCTTTAGTCATAGACATTTAGAAGAACTCTATTTTTTATATACTTAGCCATTACAACTACTGATTGTTTGGATACAGTTGCTGTTTTTGCTAGGAGAATCCCCACAACTACATATTAGTAAGGAATATTTCCTAGTCTGACTCTGATCAAAATTAAGGATGTTTTTGAGGGTTGGCTGTGTCTTGTCAGGCATCTATATTTTATCAATCCCATTATCTGTTATAATTCAATATTTCAGGTGTTTTTCAGGTTTTTCAGGTTCTTATATATCAGTTCTTATATATCAGAATATATTATACATCAGTTCAGGTTTTTATATATATAAAGATAGAGTAAAGAAGTCTCGAATCACTTAACTCTCACAAAAACTAGGAATTTTATGAGCATTTTTAAATTTAAATGGAACCCCTGATTTTATTGCCATTTTGTTGTTATATGGATTGGATTCAAGACAAATTTAGAAGGGTTTAACACCCAGCGACGTACAGACTTTGTGTGTATCGCTCATGAAACTGTTAGCGTTTAAATCAGCTGGATGTTGAAACACTGAACTTTGTCTGCGGTCATGACAAAATCGTAAAATTTCTCTGCAGTCACAGCAAAATCGAGAATACCTGTCACGGTCAATCGTAAGATTAAGATCTACAAATATATGTTGTTAATGGAGTTCTGTGGCCACCCTGAAAGACTTTGTTTTCATCATATCTCTACTTTTAGGAACAATCCTTAGACCTCAACAAAGACAAAAGTTGCTGTGCGACATTTGGCACACCACAATTTTGCTTTGAGAGATACAACATTTTGTTGAACAATTTCTGAAGATGTGCTTTGTTGTCTATTGCCGAGTATCAACTAAGTGGCAGGTCCAACTAGTCCTAGTAACAATATTATAATTTATTAGGCTAAAGGTGAGTAGCCATAAAGAAACACAATTCCACCGTTATGTATGATGGATTGGTTACAACTTTCTTAGGAAGAAATAGACTGTGTTAAAATTACAGTTACCTGTTTAGACAGATAACATTAGTAAGGAGTCATGACAATCTACAGTTGTGTATTGTCAAAGATCCAATAAAACTAATCAACGACGCATATTTATGTTTCGAGTAAGCCCTGGTATTATCTATTATTAGGTAAATATCGTCTGAATATACTCTCTTTCAGTTTAGATAAGGACAATTCTGTGTTACATACGTAGACACCTAATTACTATTATATATTAAAATTAATGCAAAATAAGAGTCATTGTGCTTATATCAACAAGACTTCCCTTTGTTTTCAGGATTTTTAAAATGACATAACCACATGGTAATCTGTATCTATAAACATACTGCATAGTTTAAACTGATAGGTTACAACCATTTTGTGTCTATAACTAAACAATTTTTTATCAGGTGAATAGATAAAAATGTTATTCAGGAGATGTATCAATGTGACAGAAAATATTTTAATCACTTAAGTGGGAAATACCAAGGAAAAGTAGTAACTCGTAATTGTTGTAGATAACACTTAGTGGTTATCATGACAGACTAGTGTTGCATTATTGTGAGTTGGAATTGGCTGCCACACAGCCCTAATCATTCTCACACACAGGGTCCAATGATCTAGGGACATGCAAGACAAAATAATCCTGCTGACTTCTTATTACAATTTAATTATATATCATATACTAATACTCCATCCGTGAGTAGTTAGTTGGGTTGAGTGAAACAAAGTTTCTCTTTCCCTGTTCTTTTATTTGTTCTTCTTTTTATTTTAATTCTTTTAACTTCCAGCTTGGATGTTGAGGTCTTGAAAAAATTAACAACATAATTTAATAAGACTTCAAAGCCTTAAAGTGTTACTCTTTAGTCCTACTAATGAGTAAGTATCCTTGACAAGCTATTGTTTGTCAAAGTGTGAGTAGTTGGGATTTGTGACAAAATAAATTTGTGATGAAAACCACACTTATCATTTTATTGATTTAGTGTTATATAAACTTAAATTCCCTACTGGTTACGGGATCAAAGATTTTGCTATCCAAATCACCTAAATTTTTTTCAAATAATTTGGACCATCTGTTGACAAATAGATCCAGACCGCCTAATTTTTTTTATCTCTCTTGCCATTAAAATGAGTAGACCCTAGTAACTTATATGAGTTATTTGTCATAAAATAAAACTTAAGTCTGTTGTATAATATCTTAGTTTAGCCATTATCCTTTATTAATAGAATACTAAATTAACAAAAAAATGGCCTTTGTAGTAAACTTGCAGACTAAACAAATTTCCTGTTGCTTTAGAGGGATGAAACAATTATTGATTGATTGGGTAGTCAAGCTTGAACTCACACACACTCACGTGTAAAAATAAAATACTGTCCATTAGAAACTCAATCAAACTTCTATTGATGGGATGGTTTTAACTAATAAAGGATGAATCCTAGTGTTTATAAATGCATTTATTTATAATTTGTACATCAACTCAGTTTGCCCCAATACAACTTTCAACATGTTTATAAAACAATTTGAATGTGGCATCTCGTGAACAATAAGTAAAGTGGTCCTGGATCTTTGTATTGCAATACAATAAGAAAGACTTAATACAGTACCTAGTTATTAACATGTAGAAACACTGCTGAAAAAGTTAATTTCCTGTGACAAATATTTTGTATATAATGCCACCTTGTCCTATTGAAGACGCTACCTTCCTAGCTTGGGGTAAAAGGTTTGCATGTTTTTTCCCCAGAACATACTACAACTGTATGGTTGTGTAACAGTTTAACATAATAAAAATTCAAATTTTATACATTTCATCAAATAAAACATATTTTATTTTAACTGTGCTAAAGTGGTAATATAATATGTATCATGTTGTGTAGATGTGGACGATGTAAAGTTTGTGATCAACTATGACTACCCTCAGTCGTCGGAAGACTACGTTCATCGTATCGGCCGCACAGGTCGATCGTCCAAGACTGGGACGTCTTACACATTCTTCACCCCCAGCAATGCTAAGCAGGCTCAGGATCTCATCTCCGTGCTGCAGGAGGCAGGGCAGGAGGTCAGCCCCATGTTGTACCAGCTGGGAGAGATGGCTAGGAGCGGGGCGTTTGCCAAAGGCGGTAAGTCAAAGTTGATATTCAACCCTCTTTTAAGATTGACTCATTGTTTATGTAAATGTATGGCCTTTCGGGGGGTATAGCTACCCCTGGCTACTTCAAACTATTGATTCTTTGCAGCACTCCGTCCCATCAACCTTAGGCGCTTAGCTAATCGTAACTGTCATTTCTCCATTTCCATTTCTTCATTTCCTTAAGTCTCAAAATTGTCTTTCCCAGGAATATAAATCCCTGTTGGCTAGAGCTGCACAGTCTAGCCAGTGAAGTGAAGAATATTTCACCTCTGTTGCACCAAACCTTCATTGGCCTGTTTGACAAACTGTGTGTTAAAGAGCAGTGCTGTTGAACATTTTTTAACAAAGTTTGTACTTTTGCAGGTAAGAGGTTCCGCATGGATCGCTCCTACGATGGTGGCAGAGACAGAGGATTCCGAGGTTCCAGAGGTGGATCTCGCGGAGGTCGAGGGGGCAGCAGGTCAGTTGCTATAAATTCTGTGTATTGCGTAGATAAGGCATTATTATACGAGGTAAATTGTTGCTAAATAGGTATATTTCAGTTGAGAAGGGGACATATTAACATATTAAGGAATATGCACTCAACTCCTGATTAACCGTAATAGGATTGGGTGTGTTGCGGCTTGACCGGAAAATGTTCAAGGAAAATAAGTCAAATGAAATGCAGACGGAGAAGGTTCTAATTCCCAACACATATCAATGTTTTTGTATCAAACTGTAAGTCAATGTTTTTTAAAGTGTAAGGTATTTTGTCAGTGCAGTAGGATGTAAACAAACCATTTATCACTCTCCTCCAGCTAGGCCCACTCAAGGTCATAGACCCTCCCTATATAAATTTGCAATAAAATGCTCCAATTACAGTCAAAACTTTGTTATAAAACATGAGAGAAGAATCGAAAGAGACGTTTCTCTGTTCACAATTGAAAACTGTTCCAGATTATTTTTTAAATAAAATAAAGTATACACATTAGTATGTGTCTGGTAAATATTTTATTTAAGGACTGTATACATATTCTTTGTATTATGTGTGTCATTTTGTTCAAATATGTGTAATATTCATTGTGATTTCTGTCAAATACAACATTCAGGTAACATTAATATATTATATAGACATTGTTTTAAATTCATTTTTCCAACTCACCATGGTAATACATAGGCTATTTAGCATTTGACAGGTTAACCGAAAAATTGGTACCCTGAAACAGCTCTTTACTACAGGCTCTTTACGGCAGTTTACAGTTAACTGGGGTTCTACTGTACTAATGTAAATGTTTTTTTGTAGATTTGACAGCGGAGGAAGTCGAGGTGGTGGACGATTTGGAAGTGATGATAGAAGAGGAGGTTTTGGTGGTGGAAGAGAAGAAGGTGGACGGTTTGGTGGTAGAAATGATGATAGGTTAGGAGGTGGGAGAGGTAGAGGAGGTAGGGGGAGGTTCGACAGTGGGGGAGGAAGGGACTACTCTGGGGAAGAGAACAATGGAAGCTTCATGGGCGGAGGTAGAGGAGGTGGTTATAACAACGAGAGAGGCATGAGGGGCCGAGGTGGGAGCCGAGGAGGGTCGGGAGAGAGGGGAGGCAGAGGGGCAAGGCAGAAGCGAGAGAGCCGTTGGGGAGAGGAGAGCGATGATCAGAAGGCAAAGAGAAGGATCATGGATGACGGAGGTGCTAGGCCTGCGCCTGTGGTGGACATGAGAGCCCCTCCTCCAGGTTACAACCCCCAGGGAATGCCGATGAACTTCCCACAACAGTTCCAACAGCCCATGAACGGATTCAGTTTCCAAAACCAAATCGCTATGAACAGAAACTAACTCTAGACGGTTTGTTCAGTTATTTATTCCTCAGAAACCCATTAGTGTTAGGAATTTGGTAAAAATTACTAGCATAATTTGTATCTGTGATTTTAAACACTCTGGTTTCTATGAGAGTAAAAATATATTTTTTTTCTTTCTGATGTTTCAGAAACTCAAAGTATTAATGTTATGGTAGATAGATTTAATTTTTTATTGTGAGTAATGTTTCTGGAAGAGTCCTTGCTCATAGAAACTTCCTTTATGTGTTTCTTCCACTCTTCTTAGTTTTGCCAACAAGTAAAAACTCAGAATACCGCCATATAGCACATGGTAGTTACTAATCCGATATAGATTTGTTAATAGAAGTACAATTAAAAGAGCTAATAAGGTTTTATATTATTTTATCTTTTATTTTAGGGATGGTTTTTAAATGTTGAATAGTAACCAATTTTCCGATGACCCTAAGAGTTGTTATTTTAGAATGTGTACAACATGAAATAACCCCAGCTCACTAAAGATTTATCACCGCTCCATTTGAAATGTTTTCAAAAAGAATCAAATCGATATTAAATAATTAATAGTTTGCCAGAAAGCTAATCTTCTGTGGGCTCAGGTTAATTCAAATTTTAAAATACAATTTGGTTGTATATGCAAATGTTTTAGTGTTATTTGATCACAAGTAGTAAAAAAATAGTAACAAAACAATGCACTTTCAACATTTTTGTACTTTTTTTTAGAAGTTGATCTGTTTCAATGTTTCTTTGTAGTAAATAAAGATACAATTTTAAAAATGAACTCTGAGTGTTTAATTTTGTTGTTGTTGTTAGTATCCACTGCCATTTTCTGCCTTTTATGCCCAATAAAAAATGATTATACCGAATTCTTATAAAGAGCATAGTTACAATATTGGTACAACAATAACTCAATGTTACATTCTAAATCCCATTTTCCAGTCCATGGTAAAGTTTTTGTTTTTGATAAATTTAAGCAAGGCCCCACTAGAAAAACAGGCCATGCTGCAGCGCAACACTACGTCACAGTGGTGGATAGTTGAACTAAAATCTTACCATTTACAATCTGACAAACAGCCAGTTTATTTACCTAAAACATGCAAAATAGTGAATTTATCAATGAACCATTACACTCATCCTTCACTCATAATTGGGTTAAAATACGCACCTAGGTGGCGTACCCATCTCAATGATTGATAATTGATGACGTCACTAATGTGACGTCATGGATCCTGCAGCATGGCCTGTTTTTCTAGTGGGGCCTTGATTTAAGCTTGCTTAACAGGTAAAAATAAACGGTATCAACAATCTGACACATCATTCCTCCCTTTAACTTTTCAACAACCCTTATCATGGCACTTGGATTGTGAGAGAAACCTTGATAATTTATTGGGGAAAATCACAAAAATTGAAATTAAAACCATTATTTTTACAGCAATAGGTTTTGTACAATTTCATTTAGACTATTTTGAGTTAAATGGACTATAACAACATACACACAATTTGAATCAAAATTGGTCTTCGATATTTTGAAAATATGATTTTCTATGAATTGGGTTTTTACAAAAGTTTCAATATACTTTTGAACTGTAATTGTTGGAGCAATGGGGGTTGTACCATCTTGTTCAGAGTCAAAAGGAGTATAACACACTAAATTTTATTCAAAATATCGTTCAAGCCAATTTTTGATTAGACACAATTTTTTGTTTTTTGGTGCAAAAATAACCATTAAAAATAAAAAATAAACCCCTGGAGATACCATGGATTAGTACTGTAATGGAACCCATGACATGGCTGCCTTGGGTCCAAAGTTGGTAGCAATACCATTGACTATATAACCACAACCATTCAACCATAACATTCATGTTGTTGTGGTTATATAGTCAATGGCAATACTAACTGAGCCACTGTCTTACCGATTTGTGATTGTTGTACAGTATAGTCCCGCAAACTCGGCACTCGATAACCCGGCAGTCTGGATAACTCGGCCATCACCTGGCTCAGAAAATTAGTGATTTTTTGAGTCCGAGTTAAACATGGACTCAAGTCAGCTCAAGTCAAATCATTCTCAGCTCGTACAAATGATTTGTTGTACTATATCTGATGACTTAATACTAACTTGAAATATAAATATAAATACAAGAGGTAGTTAATTAGCTTAAAAATTGTAGTTCTTATTTTTAACCCTAGTTCCTGATAACCCGGCATTTCGCAAACTCTGCACCCTTCCAGTCCACATTACGCCGAGTTTGCGGGACTCTACTGTATTTATTAAATATTATCGAGGAAATATAAATTTATTTGAAATATGAAGGATCCTTATGAAAGCTAGAACCGACATAACTACCTAAATATAATAATAAAACTAAATAAAGCTACAAATTTCTGAGCATCCTAAATTGTAAATACCTCTATGGAGGGAGGGGGGTGTCAAAGAGCAGGGACGTGGACTGTAGTTAATTACATAACAGATTTTAAAAATAATTATGACCAATAAAATACAAAGATAAGATTTAAATCAATTAATTCCACCACTAACCAACAGCAAAACTTATTTTGGCATCAGGTGTCTGATTCGCTAGGTAAATTACAGCATTCTTCAAAATTAACATTTATTAAATCTTGAGAGCCAAATAACTAAACATAACATGGGTGAAATATTTAGGATTAAAAAATGTGTCTTATCCCATAGGGTAAGATAATTGAATTAGTTGACTTGTTTGTTGCAAATGCCAATTATTTCATACTAATTGGAAGAACAAAACTTATTTGTAGCCCTTGTTACTGGAGCAACTTAAGAAATAAGGATGCTTATTCAAACGTTACTCAAATGCAACTAAATTTTCATTTCCTTGTTAATGACTGAGGTTTAAAAAAGTAACAGCCTGGGAAATTCATGTAGTCAGCAGGGTTGCTACAATTGGTGAATTTATTTTCATACAAAATATTTAATTTCAAATTCTGGTAATCTAAATGTATGGTCGTAACAAAAACTTTGATGGAGTGATATCCTTGACCCTCGCATGATTTTCATGGCAAATTATCTTAGTTGACTTTTTGATTAAAACTGATATTGTTGAATAATCATTTCAGACTGAAAAGAATTTTGTTGTAAGTGGTACTCGAACTTGATTTGTTAGTTATCTAACGTTCTTGCGATTAGATTGAGCAACATTACATTCAATTTGTTTAATCTTAAAACCAGTTAATAAAAACTGAATTTTCCTAACAGTTTCTGTTTGGTTACTTACTAGCGTTTGAAAATTTTCATTAAATTGCAACTTCTGATTTATGCTTCTTTAGCATCAGATTTTTTTACAGTTCATGTCTTTTTTATTGCATTGCTAATGGTTTGTGTTTAAGACTGTGCAGTCAACTTTGGGCTAGTCTATATTTAATAAGCCCTAATAGAACTAACTGGGTAAAACTAAAGCTGCTGTCATATGTAAGTAGTGGGAGTGGGAGTAGCTATATTTCATGGGGAAAGTCAGAAAAGTTGCTATCACTTTGCAACCGTAACTTTTACAGCAATGGTAGTTCGTACCATATTGAGTTAAAAGAACTATAAGATACTAAATTTTGCTCAAAATCTTGCAAGACCTTTTTTTATGTCGGATTTTCCTGTTAATTACCATATTTGATAAGGAATTGAAAACTTCATTTAAAAATAAAAGTTGTAAAAAAACCTTACGCATACCAAATAAAAATTGCAACACAGGTGTAGTCTATAGCTCAGTACTTATCTACATACATACAAACACAAACATCACTACGAAAACAATTTTTTGGGGTTCAGGGGACCGACAGAAGGGTAGTTTCTCTATATTACTATGGTATAGCCAGGGGAGAAAGTAAAATAAACAAGCTGTCGAATAATTTATTTATTCATTCAAAAAGTATTTATTGATACCTGTACCAAAAATAAATGCAAATAATAACAATATTTCACTTTTAGATTCAATTAATAATAATTAACATTCTACCTTGTACTCTTGCTTGAAGCTATCATCGAGTTTTATTTCTAACAATAGGCCTACTTTAATGGTATACATTGTTTTAGGCCTATCATACTATCTGGTCTAATATGAGGTTAAAATATTAACCAAAAAATAAGTAATACAAACACAGCTCATGCAACAAATAAAATTTTTAGTAAGTTATATGATTCCATCGTACCAGATTAATACCATAACACAGAATGTAATCAATGTTCATACTTATTGCAACTAGGTAGCTTTTGATGGAAAAAGATATAGGTCTGGCCGTCTGGCCTATGTATCTGAAGATAAATTTTTCAAACAAGACACGTTTAGGCCTAAGGGTAAAAATAGCAGCAAATTAATTTGTAAATAAAATAACTAAATAGAAGGTATATGAATCAATATGATTTTAACCTAGCATCATTAGAACTGTAACGCTTAAATCAATCTTTCATGACTACAGAAAGGTTAATAAATGTAATTTGAGATTTAAGAGGGTTCTACCCGGCAGCCTTAAGTTCAATTCACGATGGCGGATTTTATGGATTGAGATATAGTTCGGGATTGAACATGCCTCAATTGTACAATCTCCCAACATTCTACAACTAATTTGTTTCCAATGATCGTGTGTTCTTTGTGCTCTTAACATATCAGAGCTTGCAATGGATGGGGAAAATTACTTTTAACCATTATTTTGAAGTTAAAATCATATGTGAAAAAGGATTTTCAAAACTATTTTATAAATACTTAAAGAAACAAATGCAAAGTTTCAGTTCATCCAGTGCATAGTTTGGATCTCTGTGAATATTTTACAGTTTATTTCAACTCGATAAACACTAAAATAATACCACGAGGGTTTTTTTGTCGGACCATGTTTATGCATTGCCAGACGCCGGGTGGGACCCTCTTAAATAGCCTAACATAATAGACCAGACCTCCAATGAAAAAATGTGGTGATTAATGGGCTGAATTTGAACAAAATTTAGACGAACACAATTGCCTAAATTAAGTATACACACGCCATTTTTAAAGTATTCTAATTAACTTGTGGCCTGAAATTGTATATTGCCCTATTTGGCATAAAATAAACTGCTGACTAAAACTTAAAATGTGGTTGACAATTCTCATAAAAAGTGGTGTCCTTATTAGTGGTTGACATTAATTTAACTACTATACTGAAAGTGTGGTGATCAATGTTATTTTTATTCCCTAATCTGCTTGTTAGGTATACCTACATACTTATTACATTAGGCACTCATAAGGCCTCAGGTACAATATGAGCATCGCGTGGTGAGCGGCATTTGAAAAAAAACGTAGGTAAGCCACAGTGGTGGTTACGATACAAGCAACAATTTTCTTAATGCTCAACAATTTCCTGTGTAGCAGGTGTAAGTAAAGTTCAAGATGGCAAACTATGCAGACCTTGAATTTTTTTATTAGGCCTATTGTTAAAGAAACACTTAGTTTTTTAATAAAGAGGCACAGGAGATAATGGAAGAGTACAACCGATTAATTGTTTACAATAGAACTGAAGAATGATTCATCTGAGCGGCAATTTGGCAAAATCTATCTGGACCTAACATTATAAGTGGCGCTGCTTACCGTCGCTCACCACTAAGACGTATCATGGCCATGGCCACCCTCAACAAATTTACATATAAGTAAATGAGACCCGATGTCAGATTGGCGCTGCTCACCACTCATATTGTAGCCGAGGCCTAAGAAGTTCAATGATTGGTCAAGACTAAACATTAGTTAACTGTGAAGCATTAAGTATGGTTTCAGTAAATAACATAAACTGATCAACCATTTTGATTTCCTATCATTGTTGTACAGCTTCATGTCCTTGTATGGAAAACACAAGATTAACACAATATGTATTAAAATGCCTACGGTATAGTATGATTGTTCATATTTAGCTGGATGTTATGAAAACAAACTGGTTAGGCCTTCAAAACACTTTTTGACGATTCTTCAGGGACATTTTCTTTGAGTTCTTCACTTTCACAGTCATGCTTTACATATGATGTATAAACATCATAGCCAAGTGAAATTGTGTTGTCGTATAACACCCTAAATCGAGTAGGTAAAATATAAAAATTTATAATTTGTGCTGGAGGCCATATTATCCATTCTGCTACATAGAGTCTGTGACCTTTACTAATTATTTCTCGTTTTACCTCTGTCCATGATGAATTTTCAAGGTATCCAAGTGTTAAAAAGAAGGCAGTTATACATATTGGAGAACAAATTATTTGATCTATAACAACCTTTTTGAGAACAATTTTCAAAGTCCGTCCAGGCAGTGCTTTGTCTAAAACTTTGTACCAATTATGACAAATAATTCCAACAGTCAAGCCAGAAATTGACATGTGGTGAGTCCTCAGTCCGTCCCATTTTTCTCGTTTGTCAGTAACAATTTCATAGTGCTGTTGTAGAATGTCACCTACACCTGATAGGGTTATTGATATGCCAACATTGGTTAATAACAAGTACTTGTTGAACATAGTTCCACTGATGGTCCGGCATTTTTGAACAATTTTAGAGTTAAAAAGGCGGATTAATGAAATGTGGGACATTTAAGAATGAAGTCCGATTGTTTTCACTCAAGGTAACTGAAGTTACCCTAATGTCCTCAAATCGCCACTTTGTTTTAAGTTACTTGGAGAAATCTTCTGTATTTCTTATCTCACAAACTAAACCTAAGGTAATAAGTTCAAATTACATTTATGGTTCTATGAGTTGCCTTATCATCTATATTGGCTGAAAAAACGATTTTCCGAACCATTAAAACTTAACTTACTCACAGTAGAAAGTAGAATAGGCCCACGTGAAAAATGTAAATGTATTCATTTACATAATCATAACCTTAAAATCCGTCTACTTCACCAACTCTAAATTCTGATGAGAAGGAGAAGGGAGAAGAGAAGAGATGAAGAGAAGACTACGGCCTACAGCAGGTAGCAGAAGCAGGAGTTGACAGCTGTTGTGAAACATCAGCTGATCTGAGAATGAGCAGATGAGGTGAGATGACTCGATTGATTGAGATGATTCGATGGTTGCCGAATGCCGATTTGAAAAAATATTAATATTTTCTACAGAATGACCAAACTAGCAACTCGAATCACAAAAATTGTTAATAAAACCTTATATTATGTATCCCCCATCTCGTATGAAATTAACTCACCTGTTTTTAGAGACTAACATAATGGTATGACTCGTTTGTAAATTGTTATCTTGCAAATAATGTCATGGCGACCAACAAACTCATCAGGCCCATGTTAAATTTCAAATTCATAGTTCAAATTCTCGTAGAGAAAAGCCCTTTAGTCCGATTTGTACCATTTCTGATTTATACCATAGACATGCGGCTGTATAAACATAGAGACTATTTATACCTTCACATATTTGGACTGTGCTAAATTTCATGCGGATCGCTTCGGCCGTACAGGAGGAGTATGTGGAAAACAAAAGCATGAGTAGTATAAGAGCTCCGCTCAATTATTTATTTCAAGCTTTCCCGTATAACGTCATGTAAAGCCTGTATATTATAATCTCAGTTAATATGTATTTTAAGACTCTTGTGTGAACATCTTACCATCAAATCAAATCAAAAATCATTTATTCCAAACCAAAAATATGTTACAAAAATTTACATATAAAAGGATGGTCCCCACATAGGCAAAGCCTGTGCGTGGGGAACGAGTTGTATCAGTCCATTTACTACAGAATCTTTTATGTCCATTCAACTTATAATCAATTTACAATACTTTATGCTACTCTACATACCAATACATAATTACAAAGGAAAAACACTTTCACCAGGGGGCTACAGCAGATAACTTAACTTAAAACCTCATGATGAAAAATTAAAAGTTAAAAAGGATAAATAAGGTAAAAATAAAAATCATCTGATAATAAATATATAATTAAGTTATCTGTTTGTAAATATGCTTCTTTCCGTGGAAATAAATAAATAAGTTGTAGTTTTATGTAGGAAATACTGTATTACTTGCGGAAGTTAACTTGGTTGTGGTGGACATACTGGGCGGGCAGTTTGTTTACTTCTCGTAATTTTAGTCTGCTTCTTGTCTGCTAAGGAAAAAAGCTTCACTGTCACTAACTTTGGGACTGGGAGTGGGACTGTGCTCTGCTCTGCTGCTCTGCTAGCTAAATGTAAATTTATAGGTAAAATAGGATAGTAACAACGGCTTGTCGAAGTTTACATAAAAGTGAATTTTATTATACTTCAGTATTAATAAACTATTTGTCTCGTCATTGTGTGATTTAAGTGGAAATGTGCCAAGTTATTAAACTGTTAGCTATAATTAGGACCTAACCTAACTATAATTTGGACTTAATTAATTACTAAAGTTTTACATGTTCAGTGCAAATAATTATTTTTTAAATGTGGCTCATAATATGGCATTTGGAATTTTGTATTTTTTTAACTAGGCCTATTATACATATTCTGTACTAGAACAATCTTGTTGAATTGTTTGGATTTAAACTTGTTGTCAGCAAACTCTTACAGTCATGAATTTAGGAGGTACTGTCCATCTAAACAGGATGGGCATTTGTGTTGTATTTTTTTGTTTTCTCATTGTAGCTTTATACATGACGAGAGATGTTCATGAAGAAGAACCAAAAAAACTACCATCGTACAATGTAAAACAATTGTTGATAGCTGCCATAGAACTTGCAGAGAAAGGTGGAGTTGAGGTATTCAATGTTAGAAAAAGTGCTGATTTGAAAATACAAAGTAAAGGTAAAACCTTAGAAGGAGCAAATAACCCAGTAACTGATGCTGATTATCATTCACATTGTGTAATGTATTTTGGATTGAAAAAGCTTTTTCCTTTAGTGAAGGTGAGTTTACATTTTTTGTTGTAGGCTAGTGCAATATAGGTTGCTCCTCATGAGCTTTGTATTGTTTTATCTTTTATGTACATTGTTTGTTAATCTAATTATTTTGTATGCTAAGCCTATGTCCAATGTAAGTTACTTTAATTGTTTTGTTGGAAAACTAATCAAAACATATGAATCCATGCACAATGTTGAATCTAGTTCTACTGCGGTTTGATTTGAATTAGATCAACCTGTGTGAGAAAGGAAATTTGACAAGGACAAATAGGTGTTGATATACAAAAACAAAGAATGGGTAAGTACAGTTTCATAACTGGGCTATGCTAATATTGATTGAAACTATCAATTCGATTAGTAGGCCTAAACCTTCATGCAATTTTTTCACCATCAGCAAGTTTGGTTGGTTAGGTTAGGTTATGATAGTTTAATTTTATATTGTCCTTTCCGTGAAATACTGAGAAATAAAGGACATTAATGCGTTACCAACAGACATACACACACAAATCCAGAACTTAATTAGGGAATTTGCTACGCTTTAAGCATAACAAAGTACATACCTATAAAATTAGTATTTGAAATCTTTGTTAATGTCATCAAATTTTATCATAACAATTTATATTTGCTTGGACCGAAGATGACCCGTAATGCTGTCGAAATGACGGCTTACTTTATGAAATGAAGTAGGCCTACTATAGACAATTTAGATTGGTAATTTATAATAAAAATTACCAAAATAGGCCACGAACTATTGATGCATAAACAACGTAAAGCGTTTAAACAATTCATGATGGTTTACTGAGTTTTACTAAAATGCGTTAGCCTATCGTTTTCTTAGCATAAACTAACATTTTGGAATCAAGATAGAAAAAGCAAAACTTATACAGTTAAATTGAATACGCCTGTAATAAATAAGGTGCAACACCAACGATAGCTAATTTGTAAATTATAATGATGTTGTAGTACGTTCTAAGGGAAACCAACGTTTACAGTTAAGAACTGTAGTACATCCGACCAACTGTATGCGTTAATCAAGTCCCGAGGATATTGATCTCTTGGTTTTGGATTTTCTCGTAAAAGGTTATTGGCAGTCAAAGTTATTTCTGGTTCCTGACCTGGATGATACCTAGTTATTAATTTCATTTACGGTTACACTATTACACTATATTATTGAACTTACGATTAATTTAATCCGTTATGTAAGAAAAACGTTTTTAATCTCACTTCGTTGAGATTCGCTTTCAAAATGTGATCGAAAATGGTTGCGGTATTTGTAAACAACATTTGTAAACATATCAGTGACAGCTAGAAAAAATAATCTTGATCCGAACAGCTGTTCGTTATTTCATAGATGATTATGTGATAAAAATTGGACGAAAACTTTAAAAAATCGCACAAAACTGCATTTTTGAACGTCCGTAATTTTATTTACAAAGTAGTGAGACCATATTTTAATGGCTAAAGACACTCTCACCAATCCAGTAAATACATTAAAACGACTTGGATCTTGATAGGTACTCTCGTTTTCCGTAAGTAAGTGGAGAAGATTGCGTAAAATGCCATCTTGAGTGTTGCAGACAGACAGACAGAAATTTAGATGACACTTGTTTCGGCTTCCTTAATGTATAAAACGTAAAAATAACCTAAAAATTTATGATTCTGAGCAATGTACAGACAAAACTCTAATTTTATTTATATAGATATATTTAAAAATGTCTATTATAAATCAATATTTTTAATTTGATAGTTTCAATTGATATTAGCATAGCCCAGTTAAGAAACTGTACCCCAAAGAATAATGCTGGATAATTGACATGAGGTCAGGGAGATTATGCAGTGATAGGAATCAGAGGTAGGTCGAGGTACAGTTCCGCAGAGAACCGGATATATATTTTACCGGATTAAATATGAATATTATATTGATTATAGTTTTGGTTGATATTAATATTGCATCGGATTAATGAATAAAGTTGTTTCTTTTAGCGAATTTCCTATATACCGTAGGGAATATTAGCGAATTTCCTATTTAGGGAATTTAAGCTATTACCTACCGTAGGTCTCATGGTAAGACCTGGACCCGGGACCGATTTACTTTTCGTTTTGAGGTCCCCAGAGGCCACAAACACCATCCGTTCAAATGTGTTAATATGTGTAATATATGTGTCCGTTAGCACGATAACTCGAGCAAAAATGATCCGATATTGATGAAATTTGGTATAAACATGTAAACCTACATTTATTTGAACGAGTTTGCGAACCAGCATGATCGGACTATGGGAACAGGGGTTTATGGGGAGTTTTATGGGGTAAAAATAGGTTAATCGATTACACTGAAAGTATTTGACTTTACCGTGTTTTGGGTTTATTTGTGACTTTTCTATTGTCAATACTTAAGAATAAAGGATATAACTGTAGTTTATTTTGTAAATAATGCACACACGACTTCAGAATAGGGATTATAAAATTAAAAATGAATAGATAGATAGATAACAGTGCTTTATTTTACAATATACTTTCCAACCTTATAAATTGTATTTTTTACGCACAAAAGACAATGGTCATTTCACCGTCTGTCTCGTTGGCAAAGTCCACTTCTACTACATAATTACAAACAACACTGCACTCGTTTAAAAGATACAAAACATAAAAGTTCAAACTCACTCAAAAGCTCAAATAAAATTCAAACAGATTTACTTTTATTACTATTTATTAACTACTTCAAAGAATTGTTAAAGCTATTATTGCCTACGCTTACCTATCATCACATACAAATATACTGTACATACATATTATACCTGTGCTATACTATCCATACATCCACACATACAAATATACATATATATACATACAGTTTTACAGATAACATACAGTTTTAAAATTAAACCAAGAATTTCTTTATATAGTACCTATAGTACTTAAACAGTAAATAATCATTCTTGGAAATAAAAAAAAATATGATGATCACTGTTTTAGGTATTCATTTCTTCCAAATGAATAGCACTTAATTTTATTAAGTTTTAATGGATTGCCCGTTTTAACCTACCTATTGATTTTTCCAACCTAGGTCCCGCTATGGTCGGTTAATGGTTCATGTTACAGTAGAACCCCGGTTAACCGAAATAAAGGGGGGAGAGCCATTTCGGATAAGCAATTTTTCGGTTAACCCATCATATGCTAAAAATAGCCAAGTGTGTGTAGGAATAATGAATTCAGTGTTTTATTTCAGCTAAAAAAATGTTACGATGGGATAGAAAATACTTTAAACCAGACAACTTGAGTTATTATATAAAGCATTTGACAGCCCTATATTAATTTATTAGAACCATTTCGGTTAACAGGGGTTCTACTGTACATAGTCTTAATAATGTATTTGTTAATGGTTCTAAGCTTTAGATAAAAAATAATAGCTACTGAATTCTTGAAGGCAAAATTAACTTACTTTGCTTTGTTTAGTTTTTAAATAAAAAATTCCAAAATGAGTAAGCCAGAAAAAAATATGCGATAAGACTTCCCTATCCTTACCTAAGTTTTTAACTTATGATATTCACACTTAAAAGCATAGTTTTGTAGTAGGCCCACCTATAAAGTGATGAGACATAATATTTTACATTAATATATTGATACCGTAACTTTATTATGTCAACAGTGTTTTTAGTCATATATGTATTATAACCTTAAACTTCTGAGAATTTTTATTGTTTGTGTAACTTTAATGAACCCAATAATCTGTTACAGATTATTTCAGAAGAAGAAGTTTTGGAATCAAAATGTGGCCAATTGTCTTCCCCGTCTCTTACAATGAAGGTGGAACCTAATGGTAACCTAGACAATTTAATAGATGAAGAACTTCCAATAAAAGATTTGACTATTTGGATCGATCCCTTAGATGCTACTCAAGAATTCACAGGTAACACACATAGCTAGAATGCGGCTAACTGAAAAGCTTAAAATCTCCAAAGAATATATTAGATTGTGTGGCGACAGGAACTGAATTTTTGAAATCGTTAATTTTTCAATCCTGTGACATTGTCTATTGGCTAGCAATGTAATGTTGACAAATGGCAATAATGATATTCTGAATTCATGTTCATGAAATGTCAGTTTGCAAGCCTTATAACTTGATATTGTTCTTTTCCAAATTCCAACAGTTTGTTGTCCAATAACTTTTCTTATCTGACATAAATAGTGTTTTTGCTTTAGATATTGTTGTAAAATTCCTATTTTGGGAATAAGCTATTACTGTATTTATGATGGTAAGACCTGGACACGGGACCTATTTACTTTTTTCTTTGATGACCCCAGTGGCCAAAAACACCACCAGTTCAAATTCATATACATACAGTGTGATTGAAAAGTGCCGGTGTAATATATTTGTTGTCATACTGCAGCAAAAACAGCCGTTTTTAATGCATGCGTTTCGGGTCTATAAAGTGAAATTTTTACTCTCTAGGGAGTAAAAATCGTGTTTAGCCCCTAGGGAGTTAAAATAAGCTGATGTCAACTCAGTTGTAAATTTTGATTGTAAACAATCGCATGTAACGAAAGTATGCTTTAATCGATTGTAGTTTATTGCAGCATGTACACATTCTGGAAAGTCAGGGATAGTAATGGAAAGTCATGGAAATCAGGTTATTGAAAGTCATGGAAATCCTTCCCATATACTATAAAATAAATGAATATAGGAAAGAAAAAAGAAAGTTTAGAGAGAACTTGGCCAGCTATTGTGACGAAGGTGGCTGGGTTTTCTTTTTTCTTTCCTTATTCTTTGAATACCATATTTTTGAAAAAATTACTACTCCATTGGTATCTGGTTAATACATATTTCAGCATTTTCTATGAAATAACTTGTCTAGGCAGTACTATTAGTGTATATGTTATATTATAATTTTCGAGTAATGTTCGTGACTCGTGGAAATCAATGGTAAATGTTCATGGAAATTAATGACAAATTTTCTGTAGACACCCTGTTATTGTTGCTTTATTGTAAACTAGCTGTACCCGCGGGCTTTGCCCCGTTCTACTTCTTAAGTGAGCTCGTTCGCATGGCTCAATCACGTCCTGGTTGAAGTTCGTTCGCTACGCTAACTCGCCTCCAGGTTGAAGATCGTTCGCTACGCTCACTTACCTTTAGGTTGGAGCTCGTTCGCCGCGCTCACTTGCCTTCAAGTTAGCTCGTTCGCTACGCTATCTCGCCTCCAGGTTGAAGTTCGTTCGCTACGCTCACTCACCTTTTGGTTGCAAATTAGCTGTGTTGTCATAAATTGGCAATCCTTGTAACTTTAATGCTATTGCACATCATAGAACAGAACCAACTTGTTTAATTGAAACAGCTGTTAAGATTCATTAACTCCATTGAAATATGAGTACTCATAAGGTTAACATGGGAACCTCCAGAGCCACTGGGGCGGAGGCAGAGAGTCCGATCAGAATAAAAACAACTTAGTTTTCCTATTTTATGCCTAAAGAATCAGTGTACCAAATTTCAGCCTCCTAGGTAAATGGGAAGTGGGAGAATTAGTGATGAGTGAGTGAGTGAGTGAGTCAGTCAGTCAGTCAGTGAGGGCTTTGCCTTTTATATATATAGATAGTTTGACAAATCGATGAATTTGGTTATTAATGTAGTATCTTTAAGGGCACGACAATGGCATTGTCTGTCATAGGCACAAAGTTGAAACTCTCCAAATGTTTGACCTCTTGTTTTATAATTGTTCTCTTGTGTAGAAAACCTACTGGAGTACGTGACGACACTGATTTGTGTGGCATACAAAGGTCGTCCATTGGTGGGAGTCGTGCATCGGCCTTTTGCCCAAGAGAAGACAACCTCGTGGGCGTGGGTCGGTCGTGGAATGTCATCTGACCTTGCATCTTATCAAAATGTTAGTAGACCTATATTTCATATTGATTATTTAGATTGCTACTTTATTAAGTGATGATTATGCTTGTTACAGCTAAGCAAATAGGTACTACTAAGTAATTTTTCAGGCGCTTAAAGTTGATAATTATTATCATTCACATTTTTCGCAGGCATACATTTTCATAGTAAATTTAAACTTTTTGTTATTGTCTACACCTGCGGCATTTTATGAGGACGTATAGAGGAGGTACACAAACACTTTTTGGGAAAGCGCGAAACCCATATGATTTGTAGGTGTGTCGGGAATTCAACACATCCGTCTCGCACCAAAGTTTGAGACTCTAACTACTAGGCTAGCAACACACACAAAAATATGGTTTATATTCACATTTTTGGAAGATTGAAAACTTAGTCAGTGTTTAAGAACTAGCTGACAGTCTGGATTAGATGCAGATGCTCATCTTGAGGGGGGGAAATGAGTAAAATAGTATCCAAGTCTATCTTAATGTTAGTTTACATAATCAACGTCTTCCTTTTGGTTGACATCTCCACACCCTTCCAATTAATGCATCCTTTTCTCTTCTCACATGACCAAGGCACCTAATTCTCCCACTTCTACCATTGCCACAATATCTGGTATTCTGTATGGGTTCCTGAGTTCTCTATTTTTTTGGATTCTCCAAACCCAGTCTTCTCATGTTGGTCCATACCTCTCAATATTTATTTTCAAAAGTTATTAAACTCTTCTTGATCTGTTTTAGCGAATTTCCCTAGAGGGAAGTAGCTATTATCGTAGGTGGCATGGTAAGAGCTAGACCCAGGACCGATATAATTTTTAATTTTGATGTCCCTAGAGAATATATATACGTCCGTGAACGCGATAACTTGAGTAATTTTTGTCCTATTTTGATTAAATTTTGGCTTGAAGGTATGGGGCCAGGTAAACTTGAATGTGTTCGCAAACCAGCATGATTAGACTATAGGAATGACGTTTTATGGGTTTTCCCCATTTTTGACCCTCAAAACTTAAAATTTTCTTCCAATTTCTCTTTAAATTTTTTAAAGAGCTTAAAAAACAATTAATTCATATTGAAGTGTTTTTTACAGCTATTGTTAAGGAGAAAATTCAATAAATTGTAAATTTAAAATTCCCATGTCATTCCTATGGAGAATATGAAAACTGTTGTAGTTTGCTTTTTTATGGATATATTTTGATTTTTATCAAACTTGACAAATTTATCTATTTTTCACTAAGGTTTAAAAAAAAAACACTATTACCGGGGCCGGTAGCAGAAACCTAGATACCTGATAAACCTAATCAATGTTATTTAAGTAGATTTAAATGAAAATCTAATCAGGTAGATGGAAATTCGCTAAATCTTGACAGGATTTTTACTCTTCAATATTTTTTATCGACTCCAGTGACATCTATTAGCAACATTAAACCTCATTTTGTATCTCCTTCTATTTTATTTTGGTTGTTTATGGTAACTCCCAAATACTTCAATTCTTTAAAGTAGGTTTTGACTGTTCTATTACTAAAATGCCAATGGTGTATGAAGACACAAAGTTAACCAGGTTCTATGTCTGGTTAAGTCTCTGATTATTTTCTAGGTGGAGAGTTCTCCTACAGTGGTGGTTTCCCGTTCACATTCTGGCTCCATAGAGGACATAGTGCACAAAGCTCTTGGCACCGACACTCCGATAGTCAAGGCAGGAGGAGCTGGTAAGTCAATATTCAACCTGATATTGTAATTGGAAATCCACTTTCAATTTTAGCAAATTATTTTTGGAAAGGTTAGCTAAATAATTGAATCAATTAATTATTCCTGGTGTCAAGATTTGATGTGAACACTAATTCCTTAGAAATAAAACCCTTAACTAACCAAAAACCTATTGTAAAACTGAATATTTTTAGGATACAAAGTGCTCCAAGTCGTCAGTGGCAACGCTAGCGCCTACGTCCACGCAACAGCCATTAAAAAGTGGGACATATGTGCGGGAAATGCAATACTGTCGGCAGTGGGCGGCGCTATGACCACGCTCACTAATGAGGAAATAGACTACTCTCCGCCCAAAGGACCTCTGAACAGGGACGGACTGCTGGCTACCCGACACGACCATTCTCAGTACGCCTTGCGCTTCCACCAGGCGTTGCAAAGAGACATGCACCTGTAAACTGCAGCGAGGCAATTTGATTGCTCTGGTTGATCAAAGTGTTCGAATGGATAGTTTATTGAATTTGGTATTTCCCTGTACCTGCTTAGCAGCTGAAATGTATTCTATCGATTGTGATAAACATTGTGAAGCTACAGGAACTGAACACTTTGAATTTGGAATGCATTAGTGAATTACAGGGGACTTCTAGGGATTTGGCGTATTTAAAATCTATGGAAATTTTCTTTTTTACAATACAAGTTCTTTTAGACTAGGATAGGAAAAAGAACAGAACAAATTAGAAATATATAACCCACAACTTGTTCACATTGTTTAAAAAGAAGCTAGTACCGGTGCAATATAGTTATTTTCCAAATTTTGCTAAGAATATTTTCTAATGCAGTGTAAAATATTTCAACTACTTTACAAAAAAAATATATATAAAACTCACCAAAACGTCCTGCAACACAATAATTAACATTTACTATCCTAGGAGATCCCTCAAAAGATTTACAAAATTAAATGCTTAAGAAATTTTTTATTTTGCAATTTCCAATGCACAGGATGGTCATCATAGTCTTAAGTCGACAAAATGTTTAGCAGTCAGAGTAAAATTGATAGCACAAACTTTAGGCTATCAACACTAAATTTAATTTTAATTAATTAATTGTTGAGTTTGTCGTTCTGGTTGTGAGGACAGTTTCTAAAACAATAAGTCTGGCTGAAATGCAATCTTTTAGGTTATATTTTAAAATTTCAATGCAAAGTTAATTTAAACAATTTCAGATGGTGTTTTAAAGTAACAACAATTAACTTTCTCTGATTATTACCATTAAATCCAATTAACTGTGGGTATAAACCGACTTGTAAAAATTTAAAATGACACAGTTCCAAGTAATCGGTTATCATGGGGGTTTTTACCATTCAAATATGCTGTTCACTTCATCTAGTATTCCACTCAAGTTTCACAATAGGCACTTACTTATCTGTATTATTTTTATCTAACTAACTCATAATGTTTAAGGTGGTAAACCTTAGAATTTTTCCCAGTTTAGAAGTCAATTACGCCTGCTGTAAATATTGTAAAAATTGAAGCATCAAGTAACAGTAACATAAAACTAAAATACAAATGTTTTTTTTTCAAATTTAAGTAGGCTATCCCTAGAAAACTAGTCTTCCACTTTTGATTTGAATTAGTTTTTTTTCTTCACAGAAAATAAGGATTGTTACTTGCAGTTGCAGACTCATAAACAAATAATATATGAACCTGGTATGCTATACCGAGTAGTTTTATACTTGTAAATAATTGTTACTACGATTAAGTTTAATGAGACATTTTACCAAGTAGGCTAAGTTGTAAATAACAATTGAAGTGTTACGTCTTTTAATGTTGTATGTAAACCGTTAAAATTGTCTTAAGCTATTCAATTTAAAAAGTTATAATTGCAAATAAAAATAAATGGGCTGCCATGCTCAGGGCTAATTTTAAACTTGTCTTAAAAAAGGTTTTGGGTTTTTGTTATGAAGTTTGTGTGATTTTGTTTTTTATAGTTTATTTCATAATTTAAGTTACGAGTAGTATTACTATGGTGCTTTATTAATTTAATTACATGAACAAAGACATAAATCCTTCAAATCAAGCTTTCTAGGGAAATAATCTTGAATAACCAAAGCATTTTCTCCTATTTCAAATTCAAGTAATATGATATTCAAGAAATATGTAAATTTGTGTTATTTTTTATTTGTGGACCCAATTTCAAGAACTATTTTAATCAAGTTTACCTTAATAGTTGTTTCAGTTCTTGAATGCAGATTGAGATCCATGCACATTTTGCTGTGCGGTGAATGATTTTTGATTTTCAGGGTCTTCTCGTTTTTATTGGTATAAGAAGTCAAAGTCAAATAAATCTTTATTCAAACATACAACAATGTGTACATGAATGCGTCTTAATCTTAAACTATAACTAATACTAAAACCATTTTCCTGATCCATTTTATTTTTTTTACATATTTACATTTTTATTTACATATTTGAACATAGTGCAGTAAATTCTTCAAAATTATAAAACTCTCCACTAATTAGAAAATTCTTAAGCCTTTTTTTGAACTTATTTCCGTTTTCCTCATTTCTGATGCTACAAGGGAGGGAATGAAAAAATTTAACCCCAATATAATCAGGGCTTTCTTTAAATTTTTCTTTTTTATGCTTTTTAATTATAAAATTTTGTTTGTGTCTAGTATTGTAAGTATGTACATCTTGCTGTCTTTGCAGTTGCGACTCCCGGCTTTTAACATATAATATAGTCTTATATATGTAGAGGCTGTAAACTGTAAAGAATTCTAATTCTTTGAAACGATTTTTACATGATTCATTTTCATTTAAATTAAGGATGCACCTTATGGCCTCTTTTTGTAAATGTAAAATTTCATTTAAGTTATATTTATTCGTTCCACCATAAATTTCAATGCCATAAGCAATATGGGAGTGTATATTTGAATAATAAACCACACGCAAAATTTCTTTACTGCAAAGGGGATATAGTCGTCTTAAAGTAAAAATACCGGAGCTAATTTTATTGCATATTTTATTGACATGTGAGGTCCACTTTAGTGTACTGTCCAAGGTTAGACCTAAAAATTTGGTTTCACATGCAAAATTTTCAAATATCTTTTCGCCAGACTTTTTACATTCAAATTTGATAAAGGTTGTTTTGTTTTCATTAAGTAAAAGGTTTTTTTCATTTAGGTAATCTCCAATTATTTTGAGCGAATCTTTCATTTTTATTTCAAGAAGTTCAATATTCTTTTCATGTATAGACATACTTATGTCATCTGCATACAAGCAGAGGGCATTGTTTTCTACCCGTTCAGATAAATGTTTTGGCATCCCTCCCAAGTAGCACAGGAACAGGAATGGACCCAACACAGATCCCTGAGGAACAGAATACTTAACTTCCCTAACATTAGATCTAACATTGTACATCTTATTTCCATCTAAATACCCAATGTTAACAAACTGTTGGCGGCCCTCTAAATAAGATTTTATCCAGTCCAGTTCTTTACCACAAATTCCATATGCTCTGAGTTTTTGCAGTAACTTTAAATGATTCACGCTATCAAAAGCCTTAGACATATCTAAAAAGGCGCCAACAACATAATTGTCCTCATCCAACTTATGTAATACATTTTCAATATAAGAAATTAGAGCTGTAGTAGTAGATTTATTTTTTCTATATCCATGCTGTTCTTGATCTAATAAGTGGTTATTTTCAAAATAATCTACTAGTTGAAAAAGTAAACTTTTTTCAAATAGCTTTGATAGAGCAGGTTGAATTGCCAATGGTCTATAGTTTTGCGGATCGTTTTTATCACCTTTTTTATATACTGGAATTATTTTTGATATTTTTAGTTGAGCGGGAAAAACGCCTGTTATTAGTGATGTATTAATCACATGTAAAAGTGGCTTTAACAAAACAGATTTTGATTCTTTAATAATTTTGATTGGAATTTCATCATAACCGGATGACCATTTAGGTTTTATTGAATCAATTATGGATGTCAAAATTGATTCATCGATGGTTTGACACCTAAATTTTATGTTTAAAATACTTTGATCAGAATGTTGTTGGGTTTTCTTTAATTTTGGTAAAACATTTTTGTCAACCATCTCAGCAAAATTATCATTTAAGATGTTTGCGACAGCATATGGTTCTTCTATTTTTTTGCCGTTATGTTTGAGTGAAATATTACTATGACTTCTTTCTTTTTTACTTTTTGTTTCAGTGTTCACAATTTTCCAAACAGTTTTGTTAACATTGGTAGAATTTCTAATTTTATTGTCAAAATGGGTTTTTTTCTTAAGTTCTATCATATTTTTGTATCTCTTCTTGTGTTCCTTAATATAATTCTTCAATGCTATGTTACTTCTATCATCTCTATATAAGTCATGTTCTGCAATTATTTCATGACGCTCATTGATAATTTCATCATCAATCCATCCATTATTTACATTACTGGAAACTATTTTTGTTTTAGGGAAATGTAAATTGAAGTAATATTTTAAAATGTTATAGAAATAAGTAAATTTGTCTTCCACATTACAGTTATAAAGTTTTGTCCAATCCTCTTTGGAAAGGTCATAAATGAAAAGGTTAATGCTCTCTTGTTTATACCTCCTTTCATACTTATGTATTTTAAGATTTAAATTGTTATTTGTACTTTTTGAACTGAGGATTTTAAAAAGTTGTCCATCATGATCTGACAATGCTGTAATTAAACATTCTACTTCAAAAAAATTGTTATCTAAATTAGTAATAAAATTATCAATGGCAGATAAACTCTTTTCAGCAACTCTAGTTGGAATTTTAATTGTATATTTAAAACCATGCATCTGCAAAACATTAACAAACTTCTTTTTCTTATTGTCTTCCCTCAAAACATCAATATTAAAATCACCCCCCAATAAAATTTTTTTGTCAGTTTTACTTAAAATTTTCAAAAGTTCACTTAGTTTTTCCAAATATATATCAACGTCTTGTGATGGTGTTCTATATACCCCAGCCACTAAAAATTTTTCTTTGCCTGCTTTAATTTCTGTTACACAAGATTCAAAGATTTTATCTTGATTAAGCGCCTGTAATGAACTTAGTATTATATTTTTGAATTCAATTTTTTCTGACACCAAAATTAATACCCCCCCTCCCCCGAAATCTGTTCTAGTGTACCAGGTCGAAACTTGATACCCTGGTATTTTGAGTTTTGTTATTTCATGTTGGTTTAATTTATGTTCAGTCAAAATTATAATATGTGGCTTTAATTCTTCAATTGTGATAATTAATGAGTCAATTCTAGTTGCTAGACATTGTATGTTTTGATGGAAGACAGATATACTACATGATTTCTTATCATTATTGATCCTAGAAGTTAATTCTAAAGATTTAGGTACTACACTCACTTTGCTACCAGGCATGGCCATGCCTGGGAGTTTAAAAAGTGACTTGGAAAGAAGACCTTGGAGATGCACTAAACCAACGGTGAAATGTACATGGATCTCAACTACAATCTAGAACTATGACAACCATTAAGGTATATTCAATTGTAAACAATGTAGGTTTCAGAATACTGTTCAAAAATGCAATCGGATTCTTCAAATTAAATATTTTTTATTATTAAAACTTGAGCGTTCACCTTGTGTGTTGTGATTGGGCTGATACTTAAAATTATAAAAATTTAGATGAATTATAAGTTAAAATTGTAAATTCCTTGCTATTGCAAATTGCTTTTGTTGATTTGTTCCTAATAAATTGTTTAAATATCATGTTATTTTATTTGTTATAAAATTCTCCTTTTGTACAATTGTATTGAAAGTTTCACTGTGTCGTTATTCAAAGTTTTTGTGATGTCCCTGACAATGCCAGCATAAAAATGCCTTATAAAATAAAAACTACTAAAATATTGTGAAATTGCTTATTTTAAAATGTAAGTATCTATAATCTATATAATTAATACGCTACATGAAACTTTGTCGGTTGAACTCCTCCGCCATTTCTTAACCGATTTTAACCATTGACGTCTCATTGGAAAGAGTGTGTCGCGTAGATTTGCAAACTGGCCTTACATTTTTGAAAAAGTCCCTTGGGCTCTGCCCCAGTGGCTTCGAAAGTTCCCATGTTATCCTTATGGAGAACATAATTGTTTACATTTTGATCAGCTGTATGATATTATTGCAGTACATTGAGTTTGTGTAAACATAACCCCCAAGACGGATCGTGTTAGTATGGCTGTATCTTAAATTTGTGCATTTATCGTGGTTTTGTGTAGCTATAATTTGTTTATTTGTTTCTTTCTTTTAAATTCCTCCGACGCGACGACAACGAAACATAGACAGGAGGCGTAGTCTAATCGTGATAACGACCGCAGCTACAGAACAGTGGCTTAACTCATCACAGTCAGCACCTGACCCTGGACAATCTCAACTATTAGGTTAACAATGCGCCCTAACACTACCCCAAAACGACTTTTCGTTCTCAATTGGCCCTCTCCCAATTTGGCACACTGATTCTTTGGGCATTAAATAGGAAAACTAAGTAGTTTTTATTCTGATCGGGCTTTCGGGCTCCGCCCCAGTCGCTCTGGAATTTCCCATGTTAACCTTATGATTTTTCATATTTAAAAGGAATTTCTTAACAGCTGTTTCAATTAAACAAGTTGGTTATGTTCTATGATGTTCAATAGCATTAAAGTTACAAGGATTACCAACAGGGTGCAGCACTATTATTTTTTTAATTTATGACAGCCAATTTGCAACCAAAAGGTGAGTGAGCGTAGCGAACGAACTTCAACCTGGATTTATCCATGTTTGCCTCCTGGATTGAATAATAATAATAATAATAGGTTAAATACCTTGTATACGTCCTCAATCCAAGTCGTCTTTTACAATGACTATAGTTTCGGGGCCAACAGCCCCATTGTCAAATTTTTGTTTAGGCCGGCCAAAAAGTATAATTTTTCAATGTTACGTGTAAATATAAATGTTTCGTGTGTCAGTGTATGTGTATTTGTGAACTTCAACGGTGACCAATGCTATAAACGGTAATTAACAAGACAGAAAATTTGACAATGGGGCTGTTGGCCCCGAAACTATAGTCATTGTATAAGACGACTTGGATTGAGGACGTATACAAGGTATTTAACCTATTATTATTATTCAACCTGGAAGCGAGTTAGCGTAGCGAACGAGCTAACCTGAAGGCAAGTGAGCGCAGCGAACGAGCTCCAACCTAAAGGTGAGTGAGCGTAGCGAACGAACTTCATCCAGGATGTGATTGAGCCATGCGAACGAGCTCACTTGTGAAGTTAAACGGGGCAAAGCCCGCGGGTTACAGCTAGTCTATACAGGGTGATTTGTACTCAGTGTGACAAAATTTTTTTGGTGTAAGTACAAAGTAAATGAAGTGTGATGATGCATATCAAATGTTCCAAGTCTCAAAATTAGCGTCCCAAAAAATTATTTTATGTTTATCAAAAATAACCATGCTTTTAAACTAATACAGCGATTTCTCAATTACCTGTATATGGATTTGAGTAGATAATGTCATTTTCGTGTTCTACATTAAATTTTGAACAAGAATAATGGAAAATTATGGAGGATCAGTTGTAAAAACTCCATTGTAAATAGATTCAAAGATAAAAATTAAGACATTTGATAAAAATTTAAAAAACAATGGTCTATTGCATTTTTCACACCCTGTATAAAAGAAAGTGTCGGAATATGTTAAAAACTGCGCCATTTTATAAGCTTTCCAACCATGTGCTACACTATTGAGGTTTAGATATTTTTTTGTTTGTAAGAGTGGTTTGAATACCAGAAAACAGGGAACTTTTTACTGTTTTTACTGTTCAACCTGAATCAAAAATACAACTTTTGCTTAATACATGCCGACTTTCTATGTTTTAAATGTTAAATACACCATGCTTTGCAGTCTTCAAACAATTAAAGCGTATATAAGCAGACATAAACCTCAATAGTGTAGCATATCGTTGGAAAGCTTATAAAATGGTGCAGTTTTTATCATATTCCGACACTTTCTTGTGTACAGGGTGTGAAAAATGCAATAGACCATTGTTTTTAAAATTTTTATCAAACATCTTAATTTTTATCTTTGAATCTATTTACAATGGAGTTTTTACGACTGATCCTCCGTCTTTTTCTACCATTCTTGTTCAAAATTTAATGTAGAACACGAAAATGACATTATCTACTCAAATCCATATACAGGTAATTGATAAATCGCTGTATTAAGTTTAAAAACATGGTTATTTTTGAAAAGCATAAAATAATTTTTTGGGATGCTAATTTTGAGACTTGGAACATTTGATATGCATCATCACACTTCATTTACTTTGTACTTACACCAAAAAAATTTTGTCACACTAAGTACAAATCACCCTGTATATAAAGCCAAAAGTACCCATGAACTTTTGAGAAAACTACAAGTCACACCCCCATAAACCATATACTTAAAATGTTCGTCATGACGAGAAACCTTGCGCAAAATTATCCATTATTTCATAAATTGCCCTATAAGGTCATAATTGCTTTCCAAAGGGAACTTTCCATTTACCTAATGTTTAAAATACCTCAGCTGTTATTATTTGTTTGTATTACCATTACTGTATGCACAATTTGTTTTTCAGGATTAATTTTGCCAACAGTGTCATTTAGAGGCTTCTGATTGACTATAACGAAGGTTTAGTAATTGAAAAATTATTTTTGTTCATAGAATAAAATTATAAATGCCTCAAATTCAATTTTATATTTTTTATTATGAAATTAAACCGTCATAACCTAACCAAACCAACCAAACGTGCTGACAATGAAAAAAATCTAATGAAGGTTTATTAATCGAAAAAATAGTTCTGTTCATAAAATACAATTATAAATGCCTCAAATCCTATTTTATAATTTTGTTATTATAAAATTAAACTATCATAACCTAACCAAACTAACCAACAATGAAAAATCAAATGAACGTTTAACCGAAAAAAATATTTCTGTTCATAAAATAAAACTATAAATGGGTCAAATTCAATTTCATAATGTTTTGATTAAAAAATTAAACCGTCATAACCTAACCAAACCAACCAAACTTGTTGATAATGAAAAAAATCCAATAAAAAAATATAGTGAAACGGGTGGGATTTGAACCCAGGTCCTTCGGATTATCAGCCTAGCACTCTATCCACTACTCCACCGAGGTCGTTGACATCAACTGTATCGTCGCGGTAATGATGTTCCCTCAGCCAATCAGAAGCCTCAAAATAATACTGAAGGCAACACTAATCCTGAAATAAAAATTCAGCTTACTGCATTCTGCTTTGTTTATTTCAGCTTAACTTAACCAATCAATAGTTTTATTAATACTTATGTAGTAAACGGGGTGGAGCCCGTGGGTAACAGCAACAGCTAGTTATTATAATGTATAGATATAGACTATATTTATCTTTAAATGTCAAATGTTGTAAAAAAAAACGGTATCAGCAATCTGACACATACATTTTCCAATTAGCTTGTCAACAACCCTCATGGCACATGGGTATGCGTGAGAGTTCAGTGATCCAGAGACAAAATGAATAATGAATAATGAATAATGAAGTTTATTTCCCACAAAAAACCACAATATAACAATACATGAGATGTAGAGAAATAGAACTGGCTACTTGATCCAGTAGTGTAACCAGTTTGCTTAAACTAACTTATCGGCTAACATGACGTTGTAATTTATGGTCTAGCATCTGTTATAAAACATTGAATTCCGCCTGAACTGTGCATCTGATGGACAAAAACAAGAACTGTTTTAATAAAGAATGAAAGTTATTACAACAGGATATTATTGATATAATTTATGTCCTGCTGAGAAGAAAGCCAAATTATCGTTGCTTTGCTAAAATGCTTTAAATTTAAACTATTCTTTATTTGAAGTGGTAGATAATTATAGTATTTTGGACCTAGATATTGAAAAGAGTGACGAAAAATAGCTTTATTTACTTTGGGTAGTTTCAGAGTATTATTGGTAATGCTTCTTGTTATGTATGTGTGTGTAATATTTGGTATGACGTTAACTCTGTTTCCACTTCGAACAAAAAACAGTCTAAGAACTTTGAAAATAAAAAGGTGCTGTATGGGCAAAATTTTTAACTGTTGGTAGAGTGGAAATGAACTTGTTCTTTTAGGTTGTTTCAAAATTATCCGCATAAAAAAGTTTTGTGTTGTTCTTAATCTATTTATCAAGGTTTTATAAGTTCCTCCCCAGCATGGCAAGGCATATTGCAATCTTGAGTTGATTAGTGCAAAGTATAATGTTCTCAAAAGTGATTCGTTACAAAAATTTCTTAAAAAATAAAATTTTCTTATTTGTGTTCGTATCTTAGCATGTAGATTTAATATATGAGGTTCGAAGGTGACTTTTTCATCGAGTAGAACTCCTAAATATTTTATAGATTTTACTTTTTCTAACGGCTGGCAATTACATAGTTGTGGACTGCAATTTGAGGAGTGAAAAATTAAAGGAGATGGCAATTCAAAACCGGTTGAGTGGAAATTAACAAATTTGGTTTTGTTTACATTTACCTGCATTCTATTGATCAAACACCAATTTCTTAAAAGTAAAAGATCATCGTTTATTAAATTTTCCATCAACATCAAATCGTTTTGTGTGTAAAAAAGAGCAATGTCATCAGCAAAAGCAAAGATATTTCCGTTAAAAGGTAGATTTAATAAATCGTTGATGAACACTAAAAATAAAATACCTGAGGTCGTTGACCCTTGGGGCACACCCGTTTGTACAATGAGAGGATTACTGTAGTCATTGTTTATTTTTACTTGTTGTCTCCTATTTGTGATGAAACTCTTAAACCACTCAAAAGCTGTACCTCTTATTCCTACGTTTTGCAATTTATTTAAAAGAATGTTGTGATTTACCATGTCAAAAGCTTTTTTAAAATCAATAAATAGACCTGTTGTTTTCAGTTTTGAGTTTAATCCTTGGAAGATGTGATCGGTTACTGCCAATAAAGCACTTTCTGTTGACCTGCCTTTAATAAAACCAAACTGCTTATTACTGAAAAAATGTGTTTTATTTAAAAAATTTTCAATTCTAATCATCATGAGCTTCTCGAGTATTTTAGAAAAAACTGAAAGTAAGCTAATGGGTCTGAGATTTTCTAAATTAAAAGAATTATTTTTTTTCAAAATGGGTACAACTAAACTTAATTTGAGTGTCTCTGGAAAAATACCTTTGTTGAAACTCATATTAAATATGTATTCTAAAACAATAGATATTTCGTCAATTACAAAACAACTCAAATGATGATTCATGGGGAAAATAACAAAAGTTGCAATAATTTTTACAGTAAAAGGGATTGTTATGTTAATGTTTAGAGTTAAAAAGACTAATGCACACAATTTTAACTAAAATTAGTCTAGTAGTTTTGCCGTTATTTAATAGGTTTTCATGGAGAAAATCATCAAAGTTTCAATATCTTTTGAACCATGATTTTTACAGTGATGGTGATGGGAGCTATACCATACTATTTAAAGTCAAAATGACCATAAAATACTAAATTTGAATTAAAATCTTTCGGGCCATTTTTGAGAAAGTAAGATTGTTTTGTTCTATTGGTTTTGATAGATTATCACCATCAAAAAAAAATTTTGAAACACCTGGAGATACCATATGGTTTACTACCGACATACCAAATTCCATCAAACAGACAAGTGTGGTCTGTAGCTCTGTTAACATTCACACACACGTAGACATAACTTCAAAGTGAAGTAGTCTTTGTTGTTGCTGTTTTAGTTGAAAATCAAAATAATAATTTATGAATATTACTATGCAACAGTAACAGGATACAATCAGAGAGTATTTTTCGTTTGCCAGTTGATAAGGATATTTATTGTCTACTCTGCCTCAAAAGTGCAGGTTAGTTATAAAACACAACCCTATATTGATTTATTATTCATTGTTACTACTGAAGTAAGATTTCTATTTGTCATTCAATAATAAACTAACTGTATACAGCATTACAATACAATGTGCAAAATCATGGTTGTTTATATGTTTGTAAAATATATTTTTGACAACAAGTTTTTCTTGTTTGAAAACACACTACTGTGCTTAGTAGTTGCACAAATAACTATTAAAAAATTTCAGATATAATGCTTAACTTATTCTCATTCAACCAATATTTTTAAAATTGTTAGTCAAGTTCAAATATTAAATTTATTTAATACTTTCATAGAACAACATTTGTTTACATTTACATCTTCAAAATTTTTAACTTTCTTCATGAATTATTGGTGATAAACCTGAAACAAAGTAATCAAAGAATTAAAATTACTGAAACTATCGTTTAACATCTCTTAAACTTGCTACTGCATCAACTATTATTTTTAAGAAGTAGAATATCTTATATGATTATAAAATAAACGGTTTCAGCAATCTCCCACATACTTTCTCCCAATAGCTTGTCTACAACCCTCGTCTTGGGCAAGCGGTGGGAGTAACTGAAGTATTTTATGGGTAATATCACAAAAGTTTAAATAACTTTTGAGTCGTTAATTCACAGAACTGCGGGTTGTACCATTTTGTATTGATTTAAAAGGACTACTGTATAACAAACTACATTTTAATATAATAGGGGATGCTTTTAACCCCTAACTCCTATATTTTCCTTATTTTTTGTGGCGCAAATACATTCCTCAAGCAAAGTCAAACCTGTCAAACCTTTCCTTTCTAACCTAAAAGCTACTACAAAGCTACAAAATATGTATTACCTACCTTGTTATTTTTACTAAGACTTCGGATGATATTTGACCGTCCTGCCAGGTCTGTTGGATAACATGTTCGTTGCTCTTGTAGACTTCGGCTGGAAAAATATACTTTGTCAAAACTCATTATATTTTACTATAGCTTAAATACAGTCAAACCACCATTGCTTGATTTATCCGTACCAACCATTTTATGAACACAATATTAAAGAGATGTTATATAACTATATAAAATATTAGATAAAATGTAAAATTTAAAAGTTTAAAATAAATGAGATTTAAGTATAGAAACTAACCACTCCAAAATCGTTTGTCTCTTTAGAATCAACACAAGTACTTTTTTGCCTTTTGATGGAGACAATTACACTGTGTTAAATGTAACGGCTGACTAAGAATGTTGTGCTGGTATCTGTTTGCAGTGTTAAACTAAAACTGCCTGTCTACACATGTTTATATTGGCACTGAAAAAATACTAAACCTTATTTTCAGCCAAATCTTTGAGTTCATCAAACTTTGCTGCCATTAAGTCCACCTATAAAAAAAACACAAGCTTAAGAAATACACCAGTATTACTTAAATAAATTTGAACAGTACTTAAACTATAATCATATTTCAGTTATATTAAAACAAAAAAATCATTGCTGTCTAATCATAACTACTGTCAACAACTTGCTCTTGAGTTTATTATTATTTATTAATTAATTGCTGGAAAAAAACTCATTTGACATTGAAAGAAAGCTACTCACCCAACCACATCATCATATAACTAATTAGGTAGTGGTTAAATGTGATAACTTGAATAGTTTTTGTCCAATTTTGGTTAAATTTGGCTTGAAGATGTATGGCGGGATAAACTTGAATGAGATCGCGAAACAGCATGATTGGACCATGGCAACATGGTTTTTTTATGGGGTAAAAATTGGATTTTCTAATTTCATTTTACCCCAAAAACTTAAATTTCCTATTTTTCCTTAGGCCATTTTTAAAGAGCTTAAAACAAATAATTAGCATATTGAAGTGATTTTTACGGTTATATGTTACGGAGAAAATTTAATAAATTTTAAAATTAAAATTCCCTTGTGTTATTCTTTTGGAGAAGAATTAAACTGTTGTAGTTTGCTTGTTTATTGATACCTATTCTGTTATCAAACCTTGAAAATGTAATTACAGGGTGATTGAAAAGTCTGGGTACGGCTTAATATTTTGAAAAATAAAGCAGATAGAGCTAAAATACTTGGTACAAAGTTACAGGGCATAAAACTCTATTTTAACACATATTTAGTGATTCAATAACTCTTCAGGGGGACGTCCCACAAGGAGTCAGAAGAAAATCTTAAATGGAAGCATAGGTCAATATGCACATCAAATTAAAGGTATTTTTTAGTAGAATACAATGCCGCAAACCGCACTTCAAAAGGTTGATCCTGCGCAAAATGGCAGATGTTCAAAGATTTCTTGAATCCGCCATTTTGAATCTTTGAACGGCTGCCATTTTTTACTCAGGCATTCTTTTGAGCTTGAATTTACGGCATCGTAATCTAAAAGTGAAGACCTTTAATTTGATGTGCATATCGACCTATTCTTACGTTAACAATTTTCTTCCGATTCCTAGGGCTGTGCCCCCTGAGGAGAAAGCGTATAATTAGCAGTGTAAATTAAATGAATCTTTGAACAACTGTCATTTTGCGCAGGATCAACCTTTTGAAGTGCGGTTTGCGGCATTGTATTCTACTAAAAAGACCTTTAATTTGATGTGCATATTGACCTATGCTTCCATTTAAGATTTTCTTCTGACTCCTGGCGGGCCGTCCCCCTGAGGAGGTAGCGGATCACTGGATATGTGTTAAGATAGATTTATATGCCTTATAACTTGATTCCAAGTTTTGTAGGTCTACGTTTATTATTTTTCAAAATATTAAGCCGTACCCAGACTTTTCAATCACCCTGTATATGAAGCTATTAATATTTTACTAAAAACACACGTTACCCTCCCGGCAGCAGCAAACCTAAGTAAATGTTAAATCTAATGTTATTTAAATAGATTTAATTTAAAATCCAATCAGGCAAATGTACATTCGCTAAGTCTGCAGGTTTGCTGCAGTGGGGATAATTTAACCTGCAACAGTTATTCGTCAATGAGCAACTACAACTACACTATCTGTTGTTATAAAATACCCCCGCCGCAGCAAACCTGCAGACTAAACAAAGTGCAATTTAGTCTGATTGGATTTTTTCCATAAACGAGTCGTATTTAAAAATTGTTTGTTTTTTAAGTACTACACGATGATGGCTGCAATGAAAATTGGCGTTCCCATGAATTAAGGGTAAAATTTAAAGAAACAAATTTTTGAACAGTTTTAAAATCCCATAATAATCAGTACCTATATTCAGTAGGTACCTTCAGACCTAGCTGGTTTGAAAACTCAATCAGTTTATCCAATTCATCACATTCTTGCCAAATTTAATCAAAATCGGAGCAAAATTGCTCGAGTTATTGTGTTCACGGATACACATAGCCTAGATAAAAATTTTGATGGATAGTGTTTTTGGCCTCTTGGGACATTAAAATGAAAAAGATAATCGGTACCCGGTCTAGGTTTATCCATTCCACCTATAGCAATATATTCTTCTCTGAAGGAAAATTTGCTATGATTTAAAATCCCTCTGAATTCCACCTTTGTTATTATAATTTTCCTGCTCAACTCCTAAGATGCAGGGGCTTTATTGCCACCACTTTTTCTCAGACTGACTTTTCTTTTCTCTGCATTTGATAAACTGAGATCTGAGGTGTCAAAAGTTCCGATACAGCTGTTTTAAACGTTATTTTAATTTCCATATTTGTAACAACTGTTGTTGAATGAAGTTTTTGATTTGAGTTATGTTGATGCATCAAGATCATTATAATTATTATTCTTGGTTGGCAAAATTGTATTTAATACTTCTGTTATGAATATACTTATAGTGCGGTATTTCATTCTACTATAGATATTTCAATAGAATAGGCCTAGTTTGACTTTACCTCGATCATAACCATCTCCCAGTAGCCGCGCAGGTCGGCCTCTGTGATTAGTCGGCTGTCTCCACTGTTCTGCTCTCTCTCCATCAACAGACCTTCAAACTTTTTCAGCTTCTTGTCCACCAATAGCTTTGTCTGCCCTGCAAGTCGTGTAAAATAATTATATTTCTTGTTGTTTATTGTTTGTTGTACCAGTGGCATTTTCAACTATAATTACAAACACTTTAAGGCTCGTTTCACATATATCCGGCATGCCGTTAACCCGATTTCTAGCCAGCACCTTCACGGGTGCACTATTCACATTATGCCAACACCGGCACTCCAGCTTGTGCAGCTTATAAGTAGGAATAGCAAAGCAATGAAACATTGTAAAGCAATTACAATGTTACTTTTGTATGGATGGTTAAAAATAAGAAGAGGAAAGAATCGACTGCACTAGCTCCCTTTAAACATGAAAGAAACTATGTTGGAACTTTTAATATTCTTTTTGATGACTTAAGAAATGACATAAAATGATTAGGCTATTTAAATATTTTATAATGACTATTGAAACTATAATTTTGTAAATAAGTTTAACTATAGAGTGTATATATTCTTGTACTAAATTCATAAGCGATTCAAGATCTATTTTTGACATAATTACAATTTTACGCACTACCGTACAGTACCATATAACCAGTAGTTAAATCACCTTGTTTGAGCGGACGACAGTTGGTGGTTGTATGTGAAAAGTCTCAATTGACCACTAGCCCTACTACTCCAGCCGGCTCGTTTACCTGATACCAGCAGCTGGACTTCGCCGAGGGGGCACCCGGCATCCCTCTCCCTCGACTAGTATACGGGAACCGGGTTAGTGATTAACGGACCACGACACATGCCGTGTAAGAACAGACCCATCACCCAATTGCCGGTTTAACGACTCCGGACAGCTGGGTATAAATGTGAAACAGGCCTTTAGGGAATAAAGTATAGTCCAAAACCATCTTTGTGGATGTCAAGGAATGAACACTGTGAACTCGTCCCTCTGTATCAATATGTAGTATAATAACAACCAGGCTAATATGCAATATATGCTCCTTAAAACAGATCACTGTCTAGTTGCTGATCTCAATATATTTGAAACACATTTCCGCTGGTATTGAGTTTTTACACATCATATCTAAAATCCTAAAAATTATATATATATATATATATCTAAATATCTAAAAGGCTAAAAATTCTCCCGTCCACTTCAAATTCGGTCTCAAAATTGATAGGAGATAGTAGAAAGTATATCCTTGGGAATTAATGATGCTATTTAAAAGGTCGATAGCAACACGACTGGTGTTTGGGTCAAACCCTTTCAAAACGCTAATGTCTTTGTCGTACAGATGGAAACTAAATATAAACAAAAATTGTACACTCAACAAAATCATTGCCAGAAATGCACCTAAGTTATTGTCTTCACTAAATTTATTTTTCTTAAATAAAGTTTGCACTGAGATTATGAAGTCTGAAGTGCGACTCGTTGACCAGGGGCCCCAACACTAGGTATCTGTGCATTTCCAAGCACAGACAATAGACTATTAATTAGTGCTGTTGGCTGTTTCTGTCTCATTCTGGAGTGTAAAATAATAAGTAAACCAAATAACAAAAAATAGTTGGCTAGTTAACACCTACCTATAACAGCCAGAATTGCACCCTTATTGTCTTCACTAAATTTATGCCTCCCAGCTTTTTCCAAAATATCTTGCCATTTTTCACAGAGTGTTAATAATTTGGTTCTTTCACAATCGTACTCGTCTCTGAGCTGTTTGATACAGGAATCCATTGTGGAAAAATTTATTAATATTACATAACAAAATTACTTTGTAAAAAAGATATTTTAAAACCCACACTTAAAAAATATAAATATTATCACTATAAAATACATCACCTGGTATTTTTGTAGAACACAATGTGTTAAATTCCATTAAATCATATGATATAACTGAAACTTCAGTTATGTTACAAAGGCTACATAAAAACAGGGAAGAGATCATACTTTCCAAGTCTAAAAATATATACCGTAAAAAGGTTGAGAGAAATAAATTACTAGTTTTATAAATATGTAATGGAAAAGAATCAACAGTAAACAAAAATAGACCATTCAAGTAATACACTAAGGTTTAGTCAAGGATAAATGATCGTTGCGATATCAATTTTTAGCAAACATATATTTTTATTATATTAAAAAATACATAACACAGATTTTTTCACTAAATGATCAATATAAAACTAGGGTAGCGGTAACAATAACTTAAAGCTAGTAAACCTAAACCTATATCCATCAATACACTGAATACCCAAAGTTCAGGGCTAAAGTTAAGTCTTTAAACCATGGGAAATCAAAATTACAGTCCAATAAAATCTGTTCTATGAAATAGGTTTCAACCCTTAAGAATAAAGTATACTAACATTCACTATTATTAAAAAGTATCAAAAGTCAAGGCTACTCACTATTTCATTTTGGATTCGTATTCCACTTTCTTTTTGTCTACAGAGAAGTAAGATACAGAGGAAACATGTTTATGGAACAACCGTGTACTTTTAGCTCTGAAATGGTGGGGCAGAAATATACTAGTACCAAGCAAGGAAAAACCTGAAAGGCTAATGTTTCCAAAAGAAATTGTAGCTCTCCCTACAGAGTGAGCGCTGAAGTACGTGATGGTGAGGGGGAAGGGGAGAGCGGAAGGGGACAACCAATCAAATTTGCACTAGACATGAGCAACGGGTGCTAGACACGACTTAAGTGTACCATTACCATTGAATGTTTCCTCTGTATCTTAATTCTCTGTGATAAGTCTGATGTGAAAGCCTGATGAAGGTCCATTTTAGCCATAAACTATCATGACCTGATAAAAATTTCTGATTTTTATACAATTGCCCAGTTCCCTGCTGTTTTTTGTTCCTGAATAGAGTAGCATGACAGCAAGTAAAATATAATATAATAAAAAAAAATGTAGAAAAGTTTCACTTAGCCCACAATTAATGTAAAGGACAAGTTTTACAGCTTCATAAATACAAAGACACAATCCAAAAAAACTTACCAATAAAAGTTTTGGTTTTTAGTGAATTTCCCTATAGGGAAGTAGCTATAACCAAAGGGCTCATGGTAAGACCTAGACCCGGGACCGATTTACTTTTTAATTTTGATGTACCCAGAGGCCAAAAGCACAATTCGTTGTGCACAATGTGTGTGTGTGTCCGTAAACACGATAACTTGAGTAATTTTGGTCCAATTTTGATGAAATTTGGCTTGAAGGTGTAAGGCGGGATAAACTTGAATGAGTTCGCGAACCAGCATGGTCGGACCATGTGAATGGGGTTTTACGGGAGGTTTTATGGGGTAAAAATTGGGTTTTCTCATTTTTGACCCTCTAAACACAAAATTTCCCAATTTCTCTCCAGACCATTTTTAAAGAGCTTAAAAACAATGTAAAATGTTGTAGTATTCTTGTTCATGGATATATTTTGATCAAACTTCGTAAATTTATTTATTATATACTAAGTTATTAACATTTTACTAAAAATAGCTCTTTTTTTTACCCTCCCTGTAGCAACAAGCCTGTGTACTCATAAAACCTAATGTTAATTAAATACATTTAATTGAAAATCAATTCAGGCAACTGGAAATTGTCTTAGTCGGCAGGTTTGCTGCGGAGGGAGTATTAGATATTTGAAATCATTTTAGCAAACCTTTAGGTAACATTGTAACGTAAAACAAAACAAAACAAAAATATGCTAAAACGATTATAAGTTTAGGAAGCCGACATTTAGGTTTCTAAATTCTTCTTAGTATAATACTCTTCATTGGATTGTAGGGTTAGATTAGGCTTAATTCTCAGAGAGCCCGTGTTTTATGTGATACATTCCACGCGAGACTAATGCCCATATATTATGAGTGAAGGATAAGTGTAGAATGGTGTGAGATGATCTCTGTAGCTTTGTTACTGACTAAGATCAGCTGTTTCATTAGCCAGGATCATTTATTTAAAGCCCAATCAGGAACAGCTGGGTCCAGTTTCGAACCATTAAAAAGCTACTGACTTTTCTAAGTATCGAACCGGCGACCTTTTGATTAGTAGGCCAGCACTATAACCACTCAGCTACCCAGCCAGTTATCTCAGTAGGTGTGAACAATAAATTTAAAATACACAGGCACTCTAACACAAGGCTGCGGCGAGACAAAAGCGACAACACCATATCCCTCCAAACCAAAACTTCTGTTGCACTAATTTATAATGGACAGTATAGGAAATGTTTGTGTTTACACTTTTATTATTTCTGTTCTTACCATGGCAATAGGCATGACGTTGTGACGTTGCCACACACCGACGCCACAGCCTTGTGTGAGCAAGCTATTTTAAATTACCAAAATAATTTAAACAAAACCACTAAAATTCAAATGCAGATTTTTTGCTGAACAATAATGGTAATTATGGACAAATCTGACTGGTGTGGATCTCATTCAAATATATGTTTTGGTTACACAATTTATCTATCAAATGTACAGAAAAATTAATATATACAACACAATAAAACTGGCAGTATTCCACTTATTTTTATTATAAATATTAATTACGTCCATTTTAATTGAAAATTTACCTCTTAAGGTCTATTCATAAGGTATATACATAATATATAAGGTACATATATAAGGTATATACATACATCTTGAAAAGTCTTGCAACCGATTACTATTTAGGAAAAAGTATTAAATTGGTGAGTGAGCTATTAACATTACTATCAGTACCATAGCCATTTTTACTGACTTATCGTAATACGGTAAAACCTCAATAACTCAACGATTTGTGGACCCAGAGATCGTCGAGTTTGGGGATCGTCGAGTAATCCAGAACATTGAAAGTTTTAATGGGTTTTAATAATTTAATACATAAAAGATTAATTTTTACAAATACATTTATTACTTACATGAGTATTTTCACATACTGAATAAATAATCTTAAAAAATGTCAAATATTGCAACAATTAAAACTAAATTTTCTGAAAATATTGCTTTTTTTGTTGCACCCTGTCAGCTGTTGGCTATTGAGATACACAGACTGTTGAGTTAGTGAGATTTTACTGTATTACCTACTGCTTACAGTAGGTAATGACTAAATTAGACTAGTGCCTATTAAGTCTGTTGAAAACAATAATATAATATTAAGAATACATTCATTAAGGTGATTATAAGATAATCAAGGGTGATTTAAGAATAAAATATGGATAATTGGTATGTGGTATATACGAGATTTTCAAAATGTAGCCTCACTTGGGAGACTCGGAAAATTAGGCTAGTCTGGTATGTGATAGAGATAAACATTTGCAGTAGATTTTCATTAATAAGACTCTTTAAATCTAACAAGACTTGTTTTTAGAATCAAAACATTATAAAAAAATACCTTTAAATTTGCATCAAAATCTGCGGATGATTTAAGACTTGTAGTTTATTTTAAATCCATGTGTGTAGCCCCTGAGCTGTTGGACATAATGTAAGACTAAATTACTTACGTAATTCCCGTCACAGCTCAATGAAATATGTCAATTCAGGACATGTTTCGGTGTTAAAACACCATCGTCAGCTTCAGGTACATAGTGCAGAGTTGATCAGTTGTTAACATCGTCAGAAGAATAAATAAACACAGTACGGACACGACTGTCCCTTGCTACCTGTGCGGTCGGTCACTTTGTTAGAACAGGCCTGTTTTTTAAATGTTTAATTGTTTTATGTATTTATTCGTGTCCGTACTGTGTTTATTTATTCTTCTGACGATGTTAACAACTGATCAACTCTGCACTATGTACCTGAAGCTGACGATGGTGTTTTAACACCGAAACATGTCCTGAATTGACATATTTCATTGAGCTGTGACGGGAATTACGTAAGTAATTTAGTCTTACATTATTGTAGTTTATCATGCCCTAACAAAATAGAGGACTAGAAAAGACTCTGATTTTTTAAATATTAAATTCTGCAATCACATATTAAAATTAACACAAGCGAGAGAAACTAAATTGCAAGAAGTATACGTCACTTTTCGATGTCAAATTGACCTTGGCGTCAACGAGGACATAAACATAATGACCCGTTAATATACATATTGTTAAATACCAACATAGAAAGATTTCTACACTATTGCGAGCTATTTATTAAATTCTGTATAAACAATCAGTCGTTTTTCTACCACTATTGACTGTAAACCCTTAAAGATTTTATGAGGAACTGTGTGGATCTAGCTAGTTACTGGGAGGGTCGGCTAGTATTGACTTGAGAAGCTGAATCATGTTGTTGAGTCCAAGCAGAAAACCGTTGTCCGGACCAGAATAAATCACCTGTAATGGAACAGCAAGGAAAATGTATTATTGACTGAGTTAAATCTATTTTACTTGATTTAAACTTAAACCATGACACCAACACACTATAGTGTGTTTAAGGTTATTCAGTCTACTTCTGGTAATTCAATTCGATAATTCAAAATAAAAGCTCAGTTTGTGAGAATCGCTATTTAAAAGTCCAAGCAGAGGGCAGACGGATTTGAAGCACGTAATTTGAAGTTTTGTCGGCAGAACTCTATGATTCGAATGGACGGAGGTGAATTTATTCCAGTCATAACAGAAAATAGTCATTCTGTTAGGCACAGTAGCTTTGGTGTTTAGTTAAACCAGTAGTTGAATCGTCTGGTTGGCAGTGTTAGCTCACTGGAAAAGCCGCAAAGCCAAGGTGTTTTGAAGGCATTTAGTCATTTCATGTAACTTATCGGTCCAACAAAAAAGGCTTGAATGACAACTGATTAATTGAACGAATTGCTAGTATCATTATATAAGGATTTGAGATGCCAAAAACATATGGCTAGTATCATTAAATAAGGATATGAGACGCCAAAAACATAAAATTATCTTGTTCCTTAACAGTTGTTTAGTCCACAATAAAACTCCTCATTTGTCAAAAACATGAAATTTTACTATATTTTTTCTGTCAAAGCTGCAGCCGCCTGACCAAGGGATCATACATAATTAAAAAAGGACCTTACATTTTGAAAAATTGACATAGTTTCAAACATAAAATATACTATATACTACTGTATTCAATTACGATTTACATACTAAGTCAGAACTATTCCCACAACTTAAAACATTATCAACTTGTAAACAAAATAACAATAAGAAGCCCAACACAAAAAAGAAAGCAAAAACGCCTTATTCATTAAAAACTGGTTTATAAATATACTTTACCTTGTCATCCATGGTGGCGTGCGTAGAGTGAGCGAAGTCTATAATTCTTACATCAGTCAATGGTTCTTCCCCCACAACTCCCACAGGTCTGAAACTGGTGCAATAATAATTACTCTACACCTAAGCTTGACATAAACACTAAAAACAAAGAAGATATAAAAAAAAACTTAAGCTTAAAAGTAAAAACCAATGCCTCATGGTGAACATGTATCTGAATCAGTCATTTTCTTCTAAAAAAAATAAAATATTTAATCAAACAAATACAGTGATGTCTTTTACATTAAAAATGAAACAACAATTTGATTTGGATTTCAAGTTTGCGACTGATTTTAAACATACATACACACATACCGTACATCAGTCTTGGATAGTTGGGGTTTGGATAGTGTTTTAGTTCGGATAATTAATTGGAGTTCTACTCTACTACACCTAATTAGTGGGATAGGTTAGTAAGTTAAAATAAGTCATTAAAAAAAATTAAAAACTGAACTACTTAAATATGATACAAAAATTTTGATCCAGGAAGTTAAAAACAAAATACAAATTGAAAATAGTTCTTACGGTTTGCGATCACGAGGGTTGCAGCTGACGCTGCGACACCTGAAGTCTGGTGAGGGGGGAGAGAGTAGTCTGTCCTCACTGCTGGCTCTTGTCGCTCGGGTCTCGGTCCCGCTCTGCTCCGTCGTCTGCTGGCCCGGCCCTGCCACCTCGTTACTGCTATTGTTAGTGTTGAAGCAGGTTAGACACATCTCAACAAGTAGCAATCTCAACAGTACAGTGTATGTGGAAAAGCACTTAATCACTTCACGATTGCAACAACAACTGGCGTTTAAGATTAATATAAATGTAGAATGAGTGTAGAAAGGAGTGGATGATTTGTGTAGCTTAGTTACTAAGATCAACGGTTTAGTCAGGATCGTAAAAGGCCAATGATCAAGAACAGCTGTGGCCAGTTTTTAACCAACAGAAAGTAACTCAAGTTTATCAGAATATAACTGGCGATGAACTTCTGATTACTAAGCGAGCACTAAACCACTCTGACACACAGCTTTTTAACAGCAGATTCAAGGAAAAGGACTACTTTGTTTCATGCACCCAACTAGCCAGTCCTTCTCAAGACACTAGTAATGGTTTCAGTACTGTAGGTAATCTAACAATTAATTAGGCTGGCTTGAGAGCTGTATATTAAATTTATAGTGTCATAAGCCAAATGAGGTTTGCAAATAGTAAACAACCACGTTTGATGCTTCTGGTTTCCAATTTATCTTTTTAGAACTGTGAAGCACTAAGTATTATTATTATTTAAGTATTCTAAAGTTTAAAAAGAATTGTAGGACAACATTTGGTGGACTTTTTCACAATTAATGATCGGGTGTCAATGTTTCTAATGATACCAAAATGCTAAAAAAATTACTTTTATAGTTTAAATTAAAGGTTAAATTATCGATTGAATGTTAAGAAAATATGTAAAGAAAACTGTCCGGAACTAGTAAATCACAATATGATGTAATAAGATACAATATGTACTTTTACAGCATATTTATAAATGTTGTAAGTGATATGGACTTCCATAAGATCTAAACAATGCTAATGCTGTTATGCTAAAGACACAAAAAAAACATAAATTTAGTCAAAATCGTTAAACAAATAAGTTAGCAAAAAATGTAAACTGTTCAAACATGACAGGACCCAACTGCTACAGTGTCGTCTTACTTGATACTGCGATGTCCCTCGTACAGCAGTAGCAGTGACGTAGTGTAGAGCCTCAACGAGTCTAGGCCGGTCAAAACATTGCGTAGCTCCTCTAGCCGTCGAATCAGCGGAGGTAGCGCGTCCGTGCGTAGCCGCGTGCCGTCGTGGAGGAAGTTGCGCACAGCATTTTGAAACCCGGCAGTGGTCAATGTCCGACCATACAGTTTGTTGCGACAAAGAAATCTGCCAGAAGATGCCTGATAAACCTGGATCAGAAACACAGCGTTTTGTTATTAAAATAACATTTTTGATATGTGAAAAAAACTTATCTGAATTTTTAAGATATTTAATTGAAATAAGCTACCTCAAGAAAGAAAAATGGAAAGGAGTTCTAGGCATACAAAAAGGGGAAATCACTAAGGTTGTCAACCAGTGAAGGACTACGGAGAATGCAACTAACAATCAAAAGGCTCAGAAACTGGCCATTGCAATTTACAATAAAGGTAGAATATGCCAAACTTTTGTGGCTGGATTGTCCAGCTGTAGCCAAGATCTTTGAAATTCCTAGAAAAGCTGACTGTCTGATTAAATGAAAGACCTAGATGCGAATGAAGAAGCAAGTTGTACATGTTGTACTCCTGAATAAAGATTATATGACTATGACTATGACTAAGTACTCAAATGAAACATACATTTTACATTTAAGAAAAACTGCATTGGTGTGTGGGAGCAGTAGGAACTGAAGGTGTAGTGGAGAAACCAACGGGGTTAGTTTATTTGATCAGGCTATAACCATTACAGGCGTATAATCTAACAGTACATAGATCGAGCTAGTATAATAAATACAAATAACTATATGAATTAAAAATTGAGAAATATACAAAGAATGAAAAAGGAAATGGATGTAGCTGTGTTACATGATCAGCCGATGGGCTGAGTTGAGGGGACTACAAAAAATTTGAAAAAACAAGGGGTACATTAATTGAAACATACTCTGGGTATCTTAACTAAGACATATCATATATGTGTTAATAAAACAGTCCATATTTACCTGCATTCCAGCTATCCTGACCCCTAGCTTTGCCGACGTCGTCGAAATTACTTTCACCATCTTACTTTGTCTTTTCTCTAGCGTGTCATTATCCCCATATTGTCTTGTACCCATTTTCAAGTCCAAGATACAAGGGAGCCTAAACCTCCATGTTAGATTCTCCAAAACAATAAATTCTGTATTTGTTTTTAGGAATAATCTTATGTTCAAATAAACAGTGGACACTATTCAATGATTAGTCAACATTTTCAATGCTTTCACAACTAGGTGGTTTTCAACTGTTGGTAAAATTACTTCATAAACTTAAATGTTGAGTCTAAGGGGTAAAACTCTTAAAAATTACACCTTCATAGAACAAAACAAAGATGTCCTCAACAAACTCATTAATATTCCTTAACTATTTGCTAACATACCGAGTGTCCCATAATAGTCCCCCCTGGTATATTTTTGAACGGTTGCATATATTCAAAGGAGCTTCGATACATCTTACTAAAGTAATGTAAAGTACTATTTGGTGGTATTTTGACATTCACCCCCCACTCCTAATAGGGGTAGCTGGGGAGAACTTGAATTTTGAAACAGCAACCCCTATCAAGTAGCACATAATTTAAAGGAGTTTTAAAAAAGGAAACTAATCCGAATTTGATATGACAAATCTTCAAAAAGTTATGGCATGAAATGTTAGACATTAATTTAACTGGAACTTTACACTCCATCACTTTTAATTTTTTTTCATGGCTGTAAATTTTTAAATAACCTTCCGTACACGTGACAAGGGTGATGTCACACACTTTTTAACATGATTTTGAATTTCATCATCCACCCCCAAATAGGGGATTGTACCTATTTAAATAAATCTAAACACCACCAGCAACCCCTATTTGGAGGTGGGCGATGAAATTCAAAATCAAGTTAAAAAGTGTGTGAATTCACCCTGGTCATGTATAGTAAAGGTTATTGGAAAATTTACAGCCATGAAAAAAAGTGATGGAATGTAAACCAGTTAAATTAACGTCCAACCTTGCCATAACTTTTTGAAAATCCATCGTATCAAAGTCGGATTTGCGGCATTAATTTCCTTTTTTAAAGCTCTTTAAAATTATGTGCTACTTGATATGGGTTGTTAATTTAAAATTTTAAGTTACCCCCAGCAACCCCTATTTTGGGAGTGGGGGTGAATTTCAAAATACCACCAAAAAGTAATTTACATTACCCTAACGTGTATCCAAGCTCGTTCAAATACATGCAGCCATTCAAAAATTAACCAGGGGGGATTATTAATGGGACACAAGGTATATTCAATATGGGGATCATACTAAAAACGATTACTTCAGCATGAATGTGTATTTTGGATTTATTTTGTCAGGTTACGTAAAAACAATTGAAATCTTTGGTTGCACAATATTTTGTACTAAGACTCTTATTCACTTGTGATACCGTAATTGTCAAAAAGGTTAGGGCAATGTTTCTTTGATATTTTTGTAGATAAACGTGAAAGCCATCCACATTCGTTGTACTACTCCATAAAGTACTTTAGAACATACAAAATTGCAGTAATATTTCAAAAGCAAAACCTTAATAGCAAGACTCCAGTGGGGACGATCATATATGTCTTGTTATCAAGGTAGACTTCTTATTGAGGTTTACAACAGCATGTGATTAGGGGTGATGATAGAAAATCAAGCGTACAGTACCTATTTTTAAAATTACACTTGTTATCAAGAGTGGCTTGCTATTGAGGGTCCTATTATTGAGAATCAACCAATCCTACAACAACCAATCCTCCATGGATGTTCTAACCAATCCTAAAACTGACCTTAATAAACAAAACCGTTTAAACTAAATTTAGGGTTTGAAATGTAAAAGTAAATAACTTAAAGGATACTAAGAGGTCCTTGCATGTCCTCCATGCGAGAAGTGAGATGTGTAATATACTCTTTGTGACATTTGAGCACCCACGGGTTGAGTGAAGCCGAAACATCAGAAGCATCGAACACCATTTCCTCTGACAAGCTGTCTACCTCTATACTGCCATTGCGTCGAACTCTGAGCCTGAAAAATTATTATTTAAATTAATATTTTTAGATATCTTTCTTACTTGTAGTTCACAGGGTACCCATATTATTTACAAGCAATTTTTTTGTACCTAATCCTTAACATAGGAATGAATACTGAGGTGTGTGCATATCCACTGTCCTCCCATTTATTCATATGATTAATATAAGTTTATTCGAGTAAGAGAATATAGGGGAAGGTCATAATTTTGCCACATCCTAGGACATAGTGTGCAACTAAACAGTTTGAAGTTAAAGACAATATGTTCCAAATTACTTGCTATTTTGAACGAGTGGTTAAGATATTTACCACGCAAATTAGGGAATCGTAGATTGGTTCATTGGTACATTGGTTTTTGAGCATGCAATTTAAATATGTCCAAAATAATACATTTTTAAATTGTACAATGATAGGCCTAGTACTTTGAGAACAGATATATAAATTATTGACTGTAATAAGCTCTGGTAAACCATATCAAAATTTTTACAGCAAACTTAATGGTGGTTATTACTTTTTTATCCATACCGATAACTTGTGTGTGGAACACAAAATTAATTGTCATACTTTTTTAGCTAAAGTTAACTTTATATGTTCCAACACTATATTTTAGGCAAAACTTGAATGAACTAGTTTTTCATGTCTAGTTGATGTTGGTGACACTGGGGGTTGACGGAATTTTGTTTCTATTATTTTGGGGTTAATTTGATGATTTGTGCTATAATGTTTGGTTACCGTATATAAATAGCAGGCTAATGTTTATGATTACCTAGATCGTTATATTTGGTTAAACGAGATTTTGAATTTAATGAACTAACAAGACACAAATTGTAAACAAAAACTCGATCCTAGTAACACCGGACAGAACTAACATTAAAAATGTCTTTGGCTGATCCATTAGGATCTCTACTACAAAGGGAGTACCGGTATGTTTGACCTATGGAACTACTTACTGTTTTAAATTTTCGGAGGGTTTAAGCTTGTAATTTGCAGGAGTTGTTGCAGAGAGGGTTATGTAATCTCCATCTTGAATCAGGCGGACTTTAACGATGCCATAATACACGGGCACAAATGACTTGAGACTTTCTGGTATAGTTTCGTAGAAAAGTTGTTCACGATCAATAACAGGTTTACAGATTGTCTCTTCATCAAGACAGAGGAGGGAGGAGTGACCACCGACTTGGTGAATGAATGGCTGCAACTGAAATGTCAAATGAACGTCACAGTATATAACTAAGAGTGTAAGAGGGGAGAGTGGAGAAGTAAGTGCTCCACTAAACTATTTCCTATTAGAATGAAAAAATGGATGGCTACAGTACTGTATGCCAGTCCTTTAGAGATGGGCTGTCTACCTTAGAGTTCAAATCCAAAGTTAATACTTACTACCAAAATATTTTCCTCCCCAAGAAGGTTAGCACTAAATGTCAATATGTCTTATTAACACAGTCCGACACAGTTGGGTAAGTATGTCTTATCCGATCGTCAGTTATCCAAAACTTAAGTGCAATCTGGCCCTTTTTGTGAATGGTTGTGTACTGTACTTTGAGCTCTTGCTATTTCATTTCCATGAGGCATGGCTGTACATCTTAGTACAGTATTCATTTTGACAAAGTTACAAAGATTTAATTAAGAAGGGTAAAACGAGACATCAAGCAATGAATAGAACTTAAAAACAAACTATATTAATTTTTCTACATGGTCCATTTTCCCACAACTGCTGTAAGACTGAGACACTTTCTCACATACACTTTAACTGCATGGGAATAGTTTTACACACTTTTTAGAACTAAAAATGTAAGACCTAGATTTTCTTTGATCCTAGATGCATAACCACCTAAAGCTTGATTATATAACTTATTATATTACTTATTAACTTATGACAGGTGTTTTTGGTTATAACTTATACTTTGGTAGTCCTCCTATAAACATAATGTCTGCCTTTTAATCAAAAAAGATTGCCGGTTCCTAAAAAGTCAATTTTTTTCTGGATTGTCCAAGATCATTACTTGTAATACTTGTCGTCTTCGTCGTTGACCAATGAAAATTGGATAGACTGCGTCAGAAGTGTGTTGAGGCTTTTTACTGCTCAAATAGAGACCCATCTTGTAACTCTTGAAGAGAGTAGAGCGGCCTTTTCACTAAGCAATCCTTCAGTCGTTTCTTAAAAGCCTTCGGGTTCAGGTTCTTCACCTCATCCGGTAGAGCATTAAAAATCTTCAGGGCTGACTGAGGATACGCTCGCTGTGTCATACCAAGACGACATCGGGGTATGTCCAAATCACCAGCTCTGCGGGTACCGTGGTCATGGTGACTCCCTCTTTTTCTAAAGTCTTCGAGGTTTACTCTTAGCATAGTTAAGATGCTGTAGATGTACTGACTGAAGACGGTGAGGATCTTCAAGTCAATAAATAACGGCCTACAGTGGTCCAAATGGCCAGAATTGGACACAATCCTAACTGCCCTCTTCTGAAGAAGTAGTAGGTCCTGAGTACCTATCTGTAGAATGTCCCCAGACCACAATCCTATACACAAGGTGGCTGTGAAAGAGCGCGTGGTAGACAGTTACCAAATGTGACTTCGTCAACACAGATTTGAGCTCTCTGAGAAGATGACACACTCTAGACAACTTGACACATACCTGAGATATATGGTGATTCCAGGTTAACTTCGGGTAAATCCAAAAACCCAATAGCTTTTAATAAATTATCCTGGTCTAATAACCAGCTGATCTTAGTCAGTAACAAAGCAGCTGTCATACTGTTAATTCACCATTGGTAACTTATCTTCACCTTAAAATACGCACGCAAAGTGTCGGCATGGTAAATATCTATGAAAAGTTTCAAGGAAGGTACATACACATCATTGGGCGCCTGGGTAGGCCTACTGTTCTGTTAAAGGTAGCATTCATTAATCTATGATTTATTTTCGATATAGGTATCGATATTTTATTTTTTATTCGATATATTGATACCTATATTAACAAATTGAAACTTATCAACTAACAACTATGATAAATAAATATTGTTCAGTATCAACAAACAATAAAAAATTATATTGAAACTACTTCCCAAATGCCTTTTCTGTTATCAAACGGAATTTTGAAATGGTATCTTAGCCTACAGCACGATTGGTTAGTTATGTTAGGTTAGTTTACAATAGTTTAATTTCTTAATCCAATATATGGCTATTATTTTTGCCTAAACAAGATTAGTTCTTAATCCTATTCTCTAATACGAGCTAACTTATAATTTATCCATGTTTGCCTCCTGGATTGAATAATAATAATAATAATAGGTTAAATACCTTGTATACGTCCTCAATCCAAAAAGTTGTCAGTCCAAAAATTGTTTAGGCCGGCCAAAAAGTATAATTTTTCAATGTTACGTGTAAATATGAATGTTTCGTGTGTCAGTGTATGTGTATATATGTACTTCAACGGTGACCAATGCTATAAACAGTAATTAACAAGACAGAAAATTTGACAATGGGGCTGTTAGCCCCGAAACTATAGTCATTTTAAAAGACGACTTGGATTGAGGACGTATACAAGGTATTTAACCTATTATTATTACTAACTTATAACTCAATAACTCGGTTATTGAACCAAGTAGGCTATAACTTGGACAAATTTGCAATGTCTGTTTGTCTATCTGTCTGTAATTTAAATGCGTTTATTAAAACAGATGGAATATGGATCGTAAAAGAAAATAAAAATATTGCTATATCCAAAAGAAATCATTGATAATAATGAATGTTCCCCTTAACAGGAAAGTACCGGTGTTTGCACTTGAATATAACTTACTTTCTCTTTGTTTTGCTTGCTGGATCCCCTAATACATTTCATTTAAAATACATAGTTCATTATGATAAAACCACTAAGCCTATAGGCCTAAAATGTAGTTACTTCTTTAGTTACTGATAAAAAGTATATGTTATGCCTAAGCATGGCCACACTAAAAAAACTGTTTTTTAGCGTGGCCTTGGCCTAAGCCAATGTTTTATTTTATAATATTAACTTATGACAGGTGTTAGGCTTGATAACCATTTTGTGTAAATAATTGTTGAATGATGAATACACTATGGAAACTAAAGGGTAAATTTAGTATTTTATTACTTTTAGCTCAGGTTTTACATTTAGCTAAAACTAAAACTGATACCTACTGAAATATAATTCGTTCCATTTGCTGAGTTTTCTTCCATTAGAAGAATGAATTGGATTCATTTGTAAAACCAATCATGTATCCAAGTTTTTAATAGAAGAGTAACTAAGTTACAACTAACAATAGGGATATGTTATTCACTTATACAAAATCTGATTGTAAAATTAATTGAGATGAATTCTTATAAATATATGAAGAAAGAATCTTTAAAAATATCAGGACAAATGTACTACAATTTTTGGGAAATGGTAAACACTCATAAGAATTTAGTTGATAATAGACATAATCAAAACAAATAATCTACTATTTCTTGTCGTCTGCTAGTGCTAGCTAATAATATCGTGTCTGCTAGATATTCTTTCAGGTCTGGCCATCAAAGCCATACTGCACTACTGCTCAGTAGTCATTGATTATTGATTGTGTAATGTGACAGGCTGCACTATATAAAATGTTAAAATACTGGGTCCCATAACTCATAATTATATAACGTATTGATATTAATGTATCGAAATTCAATTTTAGATACACAAGAATCGGTAAACTTCGAAAGACTTCTTATCACAAAAATCCCTGTGCTAACTCTTATGGATATGAACGACTGCTGCCGTGTATGAACACTATTACGGTCATGAATGTTGAGCGGCCTTAAGACCACGGCCGGCGGCCGCCTCTATCGAAGTGGCAGAGTTGCAAGTAGGGTTGTAACGTTGTAACAGCTGTTTTGTTTGGAAGCAGCTAATGTTATTTATTGAGCGGAGCGAGCGAAGCGAGCGAAGCGAGCGAAGCTCTTTGGGATCAACTTCAATGCAAACAATATAACACCATCACTCAATAACGGCTGAACACATTTCAGCCAAACTTAACAAGACTACTTAGACTAATAATGAGATGGTTTGTAAACAAACAAATTTCAATTAGATAATGCTAATGCAATTTAAAACGAACTTAAAATTTAAAATTTTTAACATTGGGCTTATGGGACTAAAGTAGCTATGACAGTTTTTTTTGTTTACAATAAAAATGTAAACAAGAGAATCATAAGGTATTTCTGAACTTTCTATACTTTTCTTTTAAACGATTTTAAACCATTCCTATGATTTTAATAAACAAGAAAATGCCGTTAAAACATTTTTTTAAGGCACGGAATTCACTGAAAATCGAGAAAATATACTGAACTACTTTCTCAATGCGCGGAGCATAAACAAGGAGCGGAGGGATACGGACCGGTGACTACTTTCTTGGGAACCTATTTGTGTTGCCAGCTGATTAGAAACAGCCAATGTTAGAAATCAGGATTTAATAAGCGATATATCGAACCGCATCGAAATCGGTATTTAATCCGATAATACCTCATAGGTTATATTATGTTGAATTACATCGACGGTACAGTAAGTTATTACACTTATTGATAAAACGCAGATTGAACACTGATTTAGGCATGTGGGGAGGTAGGTCGGGGTTTATGAGTATTCGTGACTACATTAAGTGTTTTGAAGTAAGGTTAGATTAGGAAGGTATAGTGTAGGTTATAGGTAGGCGATCGGGTTGTTTATTTGTGTTGCACCATATAATTTTATAACTTTTGGAATGGAATAGTTGGTTAAGGTTAAACGGGGAAACGATTTCAAAATTGCTTGCATATGGTCTTAACTTAACAAGGGAGTATTTCAAAAGTTCCAAAATCGGAAGATCCAAAGAATATATTGCCGATCGGAAGTTCCAAAATCGTAAGATCCAACGTTTATATTGCCGATCGGATCTTCCAAAATCGGAATTTCCAAAGGTTATTTAGCGGGTCGGAAGATCCAAAATCAAAAGATCCTAAGAAAATATTGCCGATCGGAAGTTCCAAAATCGTAAGATCCAAAAGTACAGTCATAACTAGAAGTACAAATTTATTTCTTAAAGTAAACTTATGAAATAGACTGTCCTTTTCACTTTGGAACTTGTGATCATATGCCGGGTCGGAATTTCCAAAACGCTACTAGTCAGATCGGAACATCCAAAATGCTAGAACTGTTGCGTCTCTCAGATTGAAGGCGTAAACACACGTCGTCACCAGCAACGTTAATGGTTATTTGTTTTGTTAATTGATATTTTAATTAATATTTTTGTATTAGTATTTTCAAGTACACACACTTAAATACACACGCATTCATACATACATGTATATATGGGATTTTGAAGGCATGCAGGGCTAGTGTTGGTATTGTTTACTATTTATTTTCAAAAGTAAAATAACGTGTTTATTATTATTTTTAAAAGATGGTTTAAGTATTAACCTTGACAATAACAATACTAAATTATCTGGCAAACGTCTTAAACAAATAATAACTTATTTTTATAGCTTATGACAATTTTTGTTTACTCCGTAAGAGAATCCAGAATAAATCATTTGAAAAATGAAAAGATAATGAATTTGTCGTGGTTTATTTGAGCTGAACTATTAAGTTGTAATAGTGTACTAGTAACCAACGCTAAATATTTGAAGTTGTTTCCGGTTGTTGTAACAAACAGGTAGTTTCAAATTAATTTGAAATTAAATTGAAATTGTAACGTTAAATTATATTTAGTTTTCCCCACAACTAGCGAATGTCTGCTGTAACCTAATTCAAGTGAAATTTAATTTTTTCCTTACAAAGAATGTGTTTTATCAAAAAATGTAAAATGTTCAACTGTATATCAAACATTTGCGTCTAATCAAGTTTTGTTGGAGATTCAATTTGTGTACCTAAGTAAAAGGTTTTGTTGTAACAATTTTAAGTCATGTTATTTGAAAATACTTATTGTTCTGCAAACTATCGCTTCATCGTTGAAGATATGAGAATTGACTTATACGACATAGTTTTTGGTCTTTATATGTGTAAATAGCTGTTCTGAATTAAACTGTTTAAAAAATTGACTACTCGATTCCCGTGCGTTCGACTGACCAACATTTGTACATTAACTCCCTTTACTATTCAAATACTGTTTGCGTAACTGTGATGTATATGGGTTGCGTTCTGAATCACAAGGCACTGTAATTATAGATAGGGCTCAGATTATTAATTGACGAATATTGTGTAAATAAAGCAATTGTTTTAAATCCGCTTATTAAAAGTATGCTATCGTAAACGAATCAATTTAGCATTTAATTTGTTTAAATAATAGTGATATATTGTTATCAAATGCACAACAATTATTTTCAATAAATGTGTTTCCAGTTGGTGTCGTTTGAGTGCACAGGCGTCAACTCAATGTTTTACCCGTATTTAATGGTAGATTGTACAAATTGTAAACACTATTTTTTATAGTTGAAACAAAATATGGACAGGTCTAATTAGTTACATAATTATTTAAATTAATTATTTCATTATAATAATCTTTCCAGTAAAAGATTTATGCTCCAATAGGACTTACCAGTTTTCGGCTTCAACTAATCAACGAAAAGTCTAGTGTGGTACCGGTACCGAGAGATAAATTATGCCCCTTACCTATAAAAATAATCGTATTTTGCATGATAAATGTTTAAAAAAAACTGGAGTAGGATCTTAAATATTCCTTTTTTAATTGCATACCTTATTCAAGTTGTTATTAGTTCTGCGATGAAATTTCTATGGTATTTAATAGAATTATATTTGTATTGTAATAAAACATGTCTGTGTAGTATATTTCTTTAAAAATTAAATGTAATTAACCAAACTCAGCAAGGATTAGTCACCCGTTACTATCTTTTAGTTTAATATTCATTTATCTTTGTTTAAGGTATATTATTTTCTACAATTTAAAAACATTTATTAGAAGTCTAATTGTCTAAATGCAAATTTACTTGCTCTTATTGTCCTGCCATGTAGGTATAAAATAAAAAAATGAAAGTATTGTAGAAGAGGGTTCGTGTAAAGGTAAATTTAATGAAGAATACGCAGCCCAGTAATTTGTTGATATTGTAAAGAGTGTGATATTTCGTTATAAGTCTCTTTGAACTGTGAAGGATCCAAACAGTAAACAGAAAAATAAGTGTTACACAGGAATTAGTACTGGAAGGTGCTGAAGACTGTACAGTATGTAGAATCATTTGTGTTCGATAACTAAAGTGAACCTTCACAAAACTACAGTAACGGTAGGCCTACAGTGGTAGACTGTGGAAGTATAGTAAAGCTGTAGTTAATTTTTCACAACAAATAAACTTACAAATGTTACCTACAATTAATGTGGATCTTTGGTTTCTAATGACTCAATTTTTTACTTTTATGCCCATAACATTTATTGTACTCCCATTGTTGGGATCAACTTCAATGCAAACAATATAACACCATCACTCAATAACGGCTGAACACATTTCAGCCAAACTTAACAAGACTACTTAGACTAATAATGAGATGGTTTGTAAACAAACAAATTTCAATTAGATAATGCTAATGCAATTTAAAACGAACTTAAAATTTAAAATTTTTAACATTGGGCTTATGGGACTAAAGTAGCTATGACAGTTTTTTTTGTTTACAATAAAAATGTAAACAAGAGAATCATAAGGTATTTCTGAACTTTCTATACTTTTCTTTTAAACGATTTTAAACCATTCCTATGATTTTAATAAACAAGAAAATGCCGTTAAAACATTTTTTTAAGGCACGGAATTCACTGAAAATCGAGAAAATATACTGAACTACTTTCTCAATGCGCGGAGCATAAACAAGGAGCGGAGGGATACGGACCGGTGACTACTTTCTTGGGAACCTATTTGTGTTGCCAGCTGATTAGAAACAGCCAATGTTAGAAATCAGGATTTAATAAGCGATATATCGAACCGCATCGAAATCGGTATTTAATCCGATAATACCTCATAGGTTATATTATGTTGAATTACATCGACGGTACAGTAAGTTATTACACTTATTGATAAAACGCAGATTGAACACTGATTTAGGCATGTGGGGAGGTAGGTCGGGGTTTATGAGTATTCGTGACTACATTAAGTGTTTTGAAGTAAGGTTAGATTAGGAAGGTATAGTGTAGGTTATAGGTAGGCGATCGGGTTGTTTATTTGTGTTGCACCATATAATTTTATAACTTTTGGAATGGAATAGTTGGTTAAGGTTAAACGGGGAAACGATTTCAAAATTGCTTGCATATGGTCTTAACTTAACAAGGGAGTATTTCAAAAGTTCCAAAATCGGAAGATCCAAAGAATATATTGCCGATCGGAAGTTCCAAAATCGTAAGATCCAACGTTTATATTGCCGATCGGATCTTCCAAAATCGGAATTTCCAAAGGTTATT